TGGCTCTTCCCCAGCACCCCAGGCAAAGATAATAGTAGCAATAATAATAATTAATAATAATAATGCAGACTGGTGAGCCAAGCTGGATCATGGCCCCTGGAAGGAAAGCCACACAGGGTGTCTTGATGGGGGAAAAGAGAGAAGAGAAAATGGTTCATAAGACCTAAATAGGTACTCCATCTGCCCATTTAACACTGCCTTCTGATCCACATCAGGTCCCTTACTGAGCTCTACCCACAGGCCACAAGCCATATGAACTCCAAGTATGTCACATCCTGTCCACTCTGGAAGAGATCTGGCTCACAGGCTCCAGCTCTGCTAACTAACAGGGTCAAACAAACCCAGGCTAAGCCGTCCTTACCCATGAGCTGCTGGTACTGCTAGCACAAGTGGCATATGGAGCTCCTCAACTCAGATCCCCTGGCAGGGCCACAGTGGACAACCCATTTGATGATCCAAGCAGGGGGAACCCAGCTCTTTCTCCCATGGTAGCAATGAGGGACCAACATAGGAACAAAGATCCTTGTCACTAAATCTACGACATGTCCAGACCCTCCTTGTCAGTGTTGGCTTTTTAAATCCAGCAGCTTGCAGCAAATAGAAACAAAGCCGTGAAGATGTCTGATAACATCTGAGTCACTCTTGAACCTAAGCAGTAAGCAGGAGCAGGTAAGACGCAAGGAACAGAGCTTGGCCCTAGCAGTATAAGGTTTTTCTTCAAAGTGTGCTGATGTTTTTCAACAGGTCACCTGTGACAAGCACACTCAGGTGCTCTGGGGAGCAGTGCTAAAACCTAACACAGGAGTCAGCCCCTTACAGTTCAATGATGTCAGTGCCCCAAGGAGCTTAGCAACCATATCCATGCAGCAGAGAGAGTCCTACAAGAGCAAACTTGAGACATTCAGAGATGGCATTAGGAAACAATTACCCAGGGAAGGCAGTGGAACAGCATGCAGGCATCTCAGACTTGATGATATTAAGGGTCTTTCCCAACCTAAATGATTCGGTGGTCTCAGATGACTAAAATCAGCAATGCACTCACTCCAACTGGAAAGAGATAGGGCAGCCACTTGTAAAACAAGAGTGTTTTAACTTCCCTCCATGCTATACAAAGCTGAAAACCACACAAAGCCTACCTGCAACAGGAGCAGAGAAGTGCTGGAAGAGGAAATCTGTACCGATGTATCCATCCCTGCCCTTGGGATAACACAGGCACACTTAGAGACCTCAGAAACTACCTCAAGCATATAAATGCCTAGGGAGATAATGCACATCAGTAACTACTCAGTCCCCTGCGGAAAAGCAAGTGGTCAGGGAAGAGGGTGAGGGATCTCATTAACTTGGTTTCCAATGAACTTCTGCCATCAGCCAGGTCCTGCAAAGCTGTGAACAGATGAAGGTGCTAATCTCCTCTCACCTCCCTGAGAGCAGGATCAAGCACACCTGGTAGGCAGAGGCTCCCTGCAGGGCTTCTAAAAGAGTTAGGCATTTGGGTAAAGGGTAAGATATCTGCCTAAAGATAAGCTGGCAACAGAGAGGAGAAGGGAGGATGTCTTGTTTTAGCTCCTTGATGGATGGTTAAGGGAGGCAAGCATCAACAGTGGGGCTTTTTAAATAGAGAATGCATTTCTAGTTTGGGATCATTTCATATCTAAAACAGTCAATCACAATTTCAGACTAAAAGCCAGTGAAGCCACCCCATAAACAGATGAAACTTCAACAACCTAGAGAAGAGACTTTCAGACTGTTTAAAACTTAGCAGGGGCCAGAAAAGGGATTTGGATTTTGTTACCAGCTTTTTCTCTTCACAATGATTAACTGACACCTTCAACCATTAACTGCAACATCCTAATCCACCCAGCTTCACCACAGCATTGCTCAGCCAGTGTATGACCCCTGCTACATCAAGGGTCTTTCCAACAAACCCAGACTTCACCTTCCTGACATTGTTCTTGTTAAAAGAAAAAGGAAGGGGGGAAAGCAAGGAGATTTAACATTTTTTAAGTATTATCAAACATAAATCAATTTTTAAAAGACCATCGGTGTGAAGAAAGAATAGGAAATTAATTTGGAAAGTCAAAAGCTGTAAGAGCACCAGGAGCTTGTATTACTGATATCCCATATAAGAGGCATGTGGTTATGGATCCGACTTTCTGTTTATCCTTTCACATGCTGCCATCCAGGGTGCCCAGCCAACTGGGTGGCCTTGTGCTGTCCAGTTGCTGACAGCGATGCAGAGGGAGGCAGTGCAGATTCCTTCCCTAGTAGTGATTTCCAAGGGGAATGGGGAAAAGAGCTGGCTGGGCTCCTATCAAATAGTGCTGCATCCAAGATTTTAATCTCTTCCCATGTGCAAAGCACTACAAATCTTCCAGTGAGGTATTAATCTCTTTAGACGTTTCACACACCAGGATCATGGCAGAGGATAGGCAAAGCCATCTTCTTTCTTCTACTTTCCTGAGTCAAGGCCACATAAGCTATGCTGAGATCATGAAATACATCTGCTCCAGGGAATGATGCCTGGCATCTAGGCCAAGCAATGCAGGGGCTCATGTGCTGGCTCACATTTAGCCCTCTCCACATGCCCACAATACCTAAGACTTGCCTTCGTTTCTCCAGGCTCCACTACTGCCTTGAAAAATCACGATTAAAAGGAAAGGGAGTCACATTAAAATGCCTGCAATACCTGTGTCACCATCCACCAGAGAAACATATCATCAATCGGATGCCAAGGCATGTGCTACATGGCCTTGAGGCATGGCATGAAGGGGGCTTATGGATGCTGGAGGTAGAAAGGCTTTCTGATATTATGGAGCCACATAAGGCAGAGCGCACTAGGTTTTACACTCTCCTAAACTATCTGCTAGCAATGGAGAGAACTAAATCCCAAGTCATGTTTACCTTCATTTCAGAAGACAATGCTTGTTTCATGTTAAAGAAGAGCACAGAACCAAACTAACAACGATCAGTGGATCAGACCCAGGGAATTAAATTCTTTGACAGCACAAGTCCACCCTCTGTGAGTTACTCTACCACAGCCAGATGAAAGGCAAAGGCTGCAGCACATTGCAAACTGCAATCTAGCAAACAAAAAGTGTCCAAGGCTTTTGGACCTGTGGGCTAATTCACTCATCTAAAGATTCACAAGGACATGGATTACTATCATTTTTAACTGAATTACTCCAATGATTCTTTGTGAACCAAGACCCTACTGTGCCGAATACTGTACAGCCAGAGATGGAGTGGGACAAAAGGCAGACACAATACTAATCACCAATTTATGATCTTTTTGGCTAAGAACTGGACACACAAGAACATGGACCTGTTGTGCAGAAGACAGTATTAGAAAAGGTTTGTGGAGAGAAGGGTGTAGAGGAAGAAGTAGATTTTCCACTAGAAATGTTAAAGAGAGCTTCTTGGAACAATTTAGGCTACTGTTATTAAAACGCAATGACAGTCATCATCAAGGAAATACAGATATATTTCTGCACACAAGCACAGAAAATATTTCCTTTCAAAACCGCAAATACAAGATTTAAATCCTTATTTTCCAGTTGATTTCCAACAAATAAGAAATCAACAACGTCAATTTCTTTTGGTGATAAGAAAGGTATCGCTACCAGCTCTTTTGTATATCTCTGTGCTTGGCAGATGTATCTCCGACGCTGAACTGCAGCCACCTTTCAGGTGAGAGAACAGCCTGGGGTGGTGTCAGCCGCAATTCACATCAGCAGCTTGCAAAGGCTAAAGCAGCCTGGAAGCAGTGAATGAGCAATAAATATACTGAACACACAGGTCCTGCTGGCAGCCTGAGAGGACACGAGACCTCAAACTTCCACTCCTCTGAGCCGGGCACAAGATGCTTAATTCTAAGGGAGATGAAAGCTTCAGCTTTACATCTACAAATCAGCATCTCTCAGCAACATAGTGCCCTCTAGCCTTGAACTGGGTTATGGTGTAAACTCCAGACTAAAAAGCCCAGTGATACGAAGTACTAATGCAAAGCTTTACATCCAGTCTTCAGCCTTATCTTTCAAGCAGGCTCTGAAGAAACCTGGCAGACGCACAACGCCAGGAAACACGGTAAACTCAGAGCAATTCTGCACCAGCCACAACACCCTGTCAGGCTTTACCTTACCAAAGCTAGATGATTTACCGTCCCTAAACACAAAATCCAGCCTTCCACGTATTAAAATGCAAACTGTATTTTGAGCAAAGAGTTAAAGGATTTGGTGTAACTAAAACCCAGAAACGAAACATACCCTCCCTACTTATGCAGATAGGCAAAAGCTACTCCACCGTATGCTGCGAACTCCCGCAGGCAAAGACACTTCTACATGACACTCTGCAATACCGGAGTCTGGGAAGGATGTTAAGAATCCTCTTACTGCTATTGGCAGTAAGGTGTGAAAGGAGCAAGGCAAAACAGAGATGAAAGAGATCCCAGAAGCTGAGTCTGACTTGATACCCATGCAAACCGGCTCCCCCCTCAAAATCTGCCTTCATGTAACTTATGGGAGAAAACCAGGGAAGAAGCATTCAGCACCCCCGGCTCACTGACCCCACAAACTGCAGAGCCTTGCTCCGCTCCCCACCGGGCACTCTGCAGAGCCACGGCCAGGACGGAGGCAAACCGGGGAGCCGAGAGACCTGTCCCATCCTGCGCTGGCTCCTGCCGAGCAAGGAGGGAAGATCCCCCTTCGGAAGGGAGGGGAACTTCAAAATAACATCACAGAAACCCAACCGCCCAACGGGATGAAGAAGGACAAGGAAAAAGAGCTGCATTTCTATGGCAGCCCGGAGCACCGCGGCCGCCTCACCCACGGGGGCAAATGGGCTGGGGAGCTACAACCACGGCGGGTGCCTCGCCAAGGTCCGGTCGGGGACGGCTCCGCGCCCGTCTCCATCCCGTCCCTGCCCGCCTCCCTCACACGTGCGCCGCGCCCCGCAGCCCGCCCGGCGGCGGAACGGGGGCTCTGCCGGGCCCCAGCGCCACTCACGTAGTGCTTCGAGGGGTTCCTCCGCTTCTCCACGTCCACCACGTTGGCGTCCAGCACGCTGTAGGACAGCATCTTCGCGCACCCCGCGGCGCGGCTCCGCCGCTCCCTGCCGGCGCTGGCAGCACCCTCCGCCGCGCTGCCCGCCGCGGCGATGCCGGCCGGCGCGCCGGGCGGGCTGGAGGGAGAGAGGGAGGGAGGATGCCCCGGTGCCGGCTCCGCCCCGTTAAGCGGCAGCGGCTCCCCCCTCTCTCGGCGGCGGCTCCGCGCCCTGCCCGCTGCCTCAGGGCGGGAGGGGCAGGGCCCGGCAGCAGGACCCGCCCCCGGGGGGCTACAGCGGGACAGGCCGTGAGGGGAGCGGGAGCCACCGCCCCCGTGTGGCGGGGGGCCCGGCCTGCCCTCCGATGGCGGCCGGGCCGGAGGACATCTCCCTGCAGGGGCACCCGGCCCGGCCCCAGGGAGAGCCCCGGGGAAGGGACAGCACAGGGCAGCGAAAGGGCAGGGGGCCTCCAGGGGCCTCCATCACTGCGGTGTCCAAGATACCCTGTCCGAGCGGCTGGACAAGGTCAGAAAGAGCGGAGCTGAGAGCACAGCCCACCAGGCTCCCGCTGGCAGCTCAAGACTGACCACTGCTTGGAGAGATCCACACTGCCCTGGCCATGGGGCAGCACAACGCTGGAGGAAGGTCACACAGACTCGTGCCAGTGATGCCGTCCATGAGTGATAACCCCATTTCATCTATTTACATAGCGATAGATATATGTGCATCATCTTCCCCAGTCACACTTCAAGTAAAGTTTGCCCTAGAAAGTTCAGTTTTGTTGTGTTGGGTTTTTCCCCAACAACGCATCATTACTTTTGATATGGTTATTTGGAAGTTACATCAGAAGCAAAAACTTACGTGTGATATTCCAGCCTTCAGCCTGTTTCAAGACATTCATTAGCTATTCATCACATTAACTGAAGTTGCTAAGATCTCTCATTTCTCTGAAGCTCTTCAGCAGCACTCCATGCAGAGTTTCCACTAAGCCCCCAGAATGCTGCTGACAGCTCTGGACCTGCTAGTGTAGGAGCACAGAAAGGTCCCAGGTAGAAAAGCCCCATGTTTACTGTGAAGACAGTTGGTTGCAATCTGGTTTCATTACAGGCACAGTTTCTGAATCACAACTTTTACAAGTGCTATCGGCCCTGCAACAATGAGCATGAGAGAGGCACCAGAGTCACAGAGCTTTAGATCCTTGAGCCCAACGGCTGACATCTGAAAGTGGCTGGTTTCAAACCATAGCTGGTTTCCACAAACAGCCTAAAAAACAGAAGGAAAACCAGCAGCAGCCCCATCAGTGCACAGGCAAACCGGGGAGCCGAGAGACCTGTCCCATCCTGCGCTGGGTCCTGCCGAGCGAGGAGAGAAGATCCCCCTTCAGAAAGGAGGGGAACTTCAAAATGATAACATCATAAATAACTGCGGGCAAAACTGCCTGCTGCCAGGTGGGAAGCAGGTACCTGCTGTGTAATGCCAGGGATGTACATGCTCCAAGACAGCCTTCCCCTTGCTGCTCAGCTTGCTACAACACACAAAACTAATAAAGTGACATAAAATGCTGAATTCCTGGTGTCCAACCGTGGGATGTGCTCAGGTATACGTGCAACAGGCTTTTGGTAATGGGGAGGGTGACAGAGGGGGAAAAGCTGATGTGCCCACCTCTGTGGTCAGTTTTCAGGCTTTCTTTTCTTCAGAACACCTTCTTTCCTCCTCTTGAGAGACTTCCCACCTCTAACCTAACCCTCCTGCATGACACAAGGCAGTGGAGCAGTTATTTACATTAGAAACCTTTACTGTTTAGACTGGCCAAGAAGTCTCTGGTGTGCGGAGGAACCAAAGAAGATCCTTCCTTGAAAATGTAAATATTCAAATAACCCACTGATAAAATATGCCTGGTGTGGCCAGTGGTCTTGGATGCCTCTTCCCCGTGAGCCGTATCAATAGACATCACACATTCCATCCCTTTCTCCTATCACCCTGTCCAAAAAAGAATAAAGGGTCCCATCCGTCATTAAAAACACTCAGGGTTTGTTTCAAATCAGCTTTCAAAACATGTCATTGTGAGTGAAAGAGAGCAAACACATCATTCTCCACACACCCTGCCCCATCCTTCCTGACATTCTTACTAATTGGCATCTCTTTGTCAGTGGTGTTCTCATCTGCTCTTGTAAGGAAGGAGCTGCTATTTTCAGTGGAACCTGAGCCTGATGCTTTGGGCTTTGTGCTCCCTTGGTGCCCACCCCATGCTTCAGGACATCTGCTCCATGGTTTACCTTTCCTCTATTCAGAATAACTCAATTCTCCACCACTCCAGGTGACCTTCTCCAGCTGTGAAGCTCTTGTACAGCTCTGGCTCCCCTCCTCCTCCTCCTCCATCAGCTGATGGCTTTGTGCTCATTGACACCTTATGCTCTTGTTTGTTTGCTGCATCCCTCCATCTACATAGGAAAAACGTATGTTGCTAGGGGCATGGATTGTTCTTTTAAAATGTGTACAACACCCAGGCTAGTGGGAGTCCAACCCCAGACTATTGCAAGGCTGACAGAAACATAACCGAAACCCCTTATTATGCTGCAGGCTTGGGAAAATCTGCTCCTCTTTTAGGCAGCAGCTGGGAAAATGAAGCTGACAGCACTTCCCAGCCTTGTGCTGGAGAGCCAGGCTCTGGCTACTGGGGCTAAATGAAAGACAGCCTGAGTACACAGAGAAGAGCACAGCAGGCTTGGTCTGTGACCAACCCCACTTGCCCAAGAGCCTGTACCTGACAAGGACCATGAAGACATGGGTTGAGGCACTATGAATCTGTAGGAAACTAACTATGGGGATTTAAATCCTAAATCTCCCAGTATTTACCTTTCTCTTAAAGTGTCTATTATTGAAGTCCTGTCATTACATGGTAAAATCACTGCCATTATTATCAAATCTAATACATATCTTAGCATCAGTATTAAAGCTGATTTAATAATTCACCTTTACGGACTTATGCTTCTGATAAAATTCACCTGAGGAACACCCTGGGAAATTCAGATTTCTGATGAAACCAGGTATTTCAGAAAGCTTTTTTTTAATCTACTTATTTGTTAAGTGGGTTATTTGGGCAAAAAGGGTGGGTTTTTTTGACCAAGCAGGTAATCACATTAGCCTCACAGATCCAGTACAGCTATAGCCCAGCCACCCAGCCTGTGCTCCAATTACAGCAAAAGCTGATGCGTGACAGAATGTGTGCGCAATGGTCTCAGAGCTGGAGCGTGACTTGAGTTTTCATATTTCATGAGGATTTTGTCATGCTGCAAATGTTTTGTAAATAAGCATTTGGGTTGTAAATTGAAAACACTTGGGTCACAAAATCAGTGAGAAAATAAAACAAAGGACAGGCTTTTCTGTGCTCCATTAAAGCCACTTCTAATGCTTCTCATTAATTCAGGGTATATCAATGTAGATAAGTAACCCCCTATGAATATTAACCATCCTATGGTCTAACAGCCCTGCCTGTTGTGGCTGGAGCTGTTGTCGAAGATGAAGTTTATTTCTTATCTATGATTTTCTTTTTCTGGCTGGGCAGCCGGGTTGAACACAATGCTTTCCTGTCCCACGAGCCAGGAGAGGCTCTAACGGTGCTCAGCACCTGGAGGGGAAGCAAAGTGCCTCATAGGCTCAGCCCAGTCCTCTGGGGGAAGTGGGAGTGCTGCAGTGCTGTGCATGACAGATTAGCCACACAACTCATTACTGGCGACTAGAGTTGCATGCATAATCTGCTAGACATGGTACTAGAGATGTGCCCCTTAGGGGGATTTTTGGCTCTGATGTGCAACGCCACAACACAGAGTCTTTGTTACATTCCCATCTCAGCATCTGTACTTACAAAACCTCAGCTTCTTAAAAAGGCTGTTTTCCATGCAGTCCTTCCACTTCAGGGTTTCAATGTACATGTCTTTTGATAGGAGTGACAAGAATAGTAGTCTGTCTGGCATTCAAATCTCAAACTCTGAAACACAAAGCACGATGCAATCTTTTTCTGCTATGTTTTAAAAGCCAATTGCATTTCATCTTCTTGAGAGATTTCTGCTTTTCAAATGAAATTCACTCTGGAGATAAATAGGCCCGGTTTATGTGATGGAAAAGGAAGCTGAAGAAACAAGCTGCAGTCCTGGCAGATCAGCCTCCCCCCCAGCACAGTAGTGTGCCCCTTTCCCCCCAGCCTCCTCATCAGAGTGCTGTGGTAGCAGCCCCTATGTGCAATTCAGGATAATGGGAAAAGGAAAATAATTGTTCCCCCTGATAGAACTGTACATGCTTTCCCAACGGCATAACAGCTTTCGCTTACATTATGAAAGAGCTGCTTTACCCTCATGACTTAAATTATAGATTATCCCCTTCTTCAAGCAGCTATCTTACAATTTAACACTTTCATGACTGATGTTATTTTCAGTCCTCCCTTACCAATTGTGGATGAAGGATTTCCAACCTCAGTATGTGAGCTGCACTCTCTGTTTAAGGTAGTAGCAGCAAATTGCAGACTGGTTTTCATCCGCATACACCTTGTATTTTTCCATTGTCATGAAGGCTTTGTAGATATCCATTGACATGGTTAAAATAATGAAACAAAGCAAACTCAAACCACACTTGTCTTTATGTGTTATGTACATGTCAGGCTTACATTTGAGACTGCTGAAGTTTATCAAACTGATCACAGGTTTGGATTGGGATTCCCCAGGTTTCTTCCTGGATGCTATCTCTGACTTCAGATGTTCTCACGGTTCTCAAAATAGCACATTTTGAGACTGGTCTCTGCCTCACCCTCTCCAAAAAAACCACCTGGCAATCTATTATTGAAAATGCAGGCTTGTTACAAATAAAGTCAGTCTAGGAAGAAGCAGTCTGTCTTTGTGTTCTCTCCCATGTTACCTCTAAGTATATACTTGGACACCAAGACCTCAGTATTAACAGATCTGAATTTTCCACCAAGCCCTTTTAAAACTTGAATTTCCTTGTTCACTGTTTTTACTTATTCAACCCATTCTGAAAGCAAGCAGTAATTTTATTTGGCTGCACATCCCCTAGAGATGGTAGAAGACTTTATCTGCCAATATCCAAAGCAGAGAACATTTGACTGATGGACTGTGAATTATAAAAATGCATCAATAAAACCTTATGAACCATGGAACTGCTGTTAGACCATAGATGACAAAACCACAAGCTTGACACTATAAGGGGAAACCTGTAACATGCAACCTCTACCACTCTGCAGTGGAGTGCTTTGATTATTTTGTATTTATTTATTTATTAAAGTTACTTTCATGCAAAAGCAAAGGGGTTTTCCCTGCAGAGAGACTTCTTTAGAGGGAGCACTTCTGGACCTCCTCAGCAGCAGCATCATCCCATGGGTACACACAGAGAGTATTCTCAAGTTAGACTTTGTACATCAGTAGGGGAGATGTTTGGAAAAACCAAAGATGTTTATTGCTTGGAAAAAAAAATAAGATCATTCCAAACCAGAAAATACTGCTTGGAAAGTGGAACTACAGCTTCTCTAGCAGGTACAGGTGTGCTATTCAGTCTGGGGCAGCAGACACACCATCCACATAATCCCATCCATTCATTTGGATCCAGGCATGTGTTAAGCTATGGTCACACAGCACCAGGGATGCAACCCTAAAGGCCATTTCATTAATGGGAGTCTTTCTCAGCCACTGATCTGGTGACAGAGGCACACAGAGACCACTTACAAGAGAAGGGCAGCTCCTCCTTCAGGACTGTTTCCATCAGTTAGAATCAGCATTTGGGCTACTGACAATTACATGATCTTGAATATTTTCATCCTCAAAGACAAAAGAGCTCAAAGGCCAGCTCTTACTTTATCATCTAACTTTAAGCATCCAATGCACTGGTCTTTTATAGAAAGGACAAAATACCCTGCAGAACATAGGAACTGTTAAAGGAAGGCAGAGGAAGAGCATATAAATATTACTGTGCTCTGTATAAATTTGTCCAGCTGTTTATGGTAAATGTTCTCTTACTCCAATTTTTTCCTGCCCTCATTTCCTCCCCTGCTTTCTAATTGCAGAAAGTAAAACAGTACAAGCCCTTGCTTTCATTACATGCAACACCTGCTGCCTGTCCTGAAACAGATGTCTAAAGCATCGTTAAACAATTACTGCTTTAGCCTTTTTCAATGGGACTAATTTCAAACATCTTTGTGCTAAATCCTCCTCCTTCAGCTTCCTCTGTATTTCTCATCCTTTCCTACATTCAGAGTTCCAAAACTCCTCTCTGTATCAGTTTGCTCTTGTTACGTTTGTCCTGGATCACTGCACTCACAGAAAGACAAAGAGAGAGGCTATAACTACTCTGAACCAGAAATTAAGTGTTTTTATTGGGGAGAAAAAGACAAGGTGAGGGAAGAAAACAATGAGACACCAGCAGTCAGCAGCTGTAGGCTATAGTGTCAGACCACCACCTGGCTTGTTACAGCTCTGGGCGTTTTTGTGGACATTACAGCAAAGAAGAGTTTAGTTTTACATGCATGCAAGGACAACTCCTCCACTCTCAATGTGAGTGGCTTAGATTTTGGCAATAGGAGAAAAACCCAACTCCAAACACCCTTTTTATTTCCCTACCACCTTTGTACCTGGCCAAGAAAAGCACATGTTAGTATCAGGTAAGCCTGCAGGGCTTACATGACTCTGTTGTTGGGGAAGACATTTGAGGGAATGGATTCCTCCCTCATATTTCCAAACAGCATTATATATTTGGATAAGGCCTTCACTCCTGGGAGGAGCCACAAGCATTTCAGGTCAAAACTTGGCTTTGTTTAATCACATAGGCTAGTACGCAGTGACATGCATTTACACTTTACCTTACCTTCTTCACAGCAGACATGAGATGACTTTCCCATCTTTTAACTTAGGGAAATTAGAAAGAAGAACAAAGAACAGATGTCTCAGGCCAAATCTTCTACAGAAGCAGCGTCTGGCTGCAGCCACTCCTGCAGTTCTCAAGCAGGAAAAGCAGATGTTTTGGTCTCCATGCTTGTAGAGTCACAGCATATTCATCGCAGGCTAAGGTGGCAGAGAGCTCCAGTTCTAGCAGGTTGGGAAGCAGCACTCATCCTTCCAATCAATAACAAAAAGCAAGCTAAAACAAGAGCTGTAGGACATGTTGTGCCAGGTTAATTGGCAGCACACTGTTCAGTGCTTCAACACTTGCTGAAAATTGTTCCTTTAGGTTATTTCTTTCACAAGCAAATTCCAGGTTATGTTATGCTCAGGCAGACTTGTTAATCTGGGCTGGCTTCAACTTGTAAATTACTGTGACTAGATGAGTGTAGTCCCCGTGGCACATTTAAGACATATTGGTAGTAATGGGCTGGTGGCATACCTAACAATTGGTTACTCAACTTTGTACCCTGATGTAAATACTATAACTTTACCAGGTTTTAATGACTTGAAGTTTCCCATCGTGAATGGGAAATTTGGGGTGTTCCCTATGAGTAAGCTTCAGGAAAAACAGTGCAGTCATTTCTTAAAAGAGCAGTCAGAGCAAGTGCTTCTGGTGGCAGCTGAAGCCACTGGTTATAAAAACGGGTTTCTTGGGACTGTCTTGTGTGTGGTTTCTCCAGTGATGCGTGACTGAGTTTCTTCCTTCCCCTTAATGGAGGCACGAATTTGGGCTTCCCTCTTCTATCAGTGCATCCATTTTCTAAAGACTCTAACAGCTCAGGGTCCTTCACCCCTCTTAACTAGCCAACAGAATACAAAGTCACTTCAGGTGGTGGGACAGACGTTGACAAATGCCCAGACACACACTATAATCCCATTAGAGTAAAATCACACTTTCTCAGAAAAAAAGGAGACATGCTAATTGGCAGGCAAACTAAAAGTCCACATCAACTTTACAGATCATGTCTGCAACCAAATCTGGCAGGATGTGAAAGCAGCAGGGAGAAACAGCTTCTGTCTTGTGCATGACTTGTGCTTACTTAGGTTTGGGCAAGTACATTTGTTTTGTACTCAGATACCTGCAAGAAAATCGCCACTGGAATCTTCGAGGGGGCAACTGGGTGTTTGTGAGGGTGGGGTGGGAAAAGTGGTGTTATCCTGAAATTACAACTCTTTCCTGCTCCAAACTACATGAGCAAGAAAGCTCTAAAGTCATTATCTGCCTCTTCTAGTGCCTAGACAAGAAGCAAGGCACAATCTGCTGGAATCAGAACAGGCTGTGAACAGTGCCAGGTCAGTTAGGCGAGGGGATTAGAGTGAAACTTTCAATTGCCAGATGCTGACTAGGATATTTGAGTTCGGAAAGAAAAAGGGAACAAAGTAGAGAGGAAGGAGGTTTGGCAAGGATCTGTGGTACAGAGATGGACGATGAGACTGCGAAGGAAATGAAGGGACTGACAAATGACAGTTAGGGGAGGGAGTGGAGAGCAGAAATAGATGAAAGAAATTAGGGAGAAAGCCTCTGTGCCTGACAGGGCACATTGCTGGGAATGAAACCCAAGATCCCTGGCTCAGCATTTCCCTGCTGCCAACAAACATCCACAAAAATGCTTCTGTAGGGCCGGGGCTCCTGGAGGACGGTAACCAATTATTACAACTATTCTTTTATCTTTGCAGCCGAACTGTTGTTTGCTCCCTGGGCTGTAGGGTTGGGGCAGGAGGGCTGGAGACTGCGGTGAAAGATGGCAATAAAGAACATAGCGCTGCACTGACAGGAAGTTTCAAACTTCAGGTTGCCCATGGGGTCTGAACTTGCTCCTTTCCCATTCAGAAGTAAGTATAAAGATACAAATCTTTGCTAGGCACATCTTTTCCCCACAGGATCGGCTTACTCCCAAAGTAAATGAAACTGCCATTTCTCTGACAAGCAGATTTTCAGTACTCTGCCTCATAATTCTTCATGTGGCTCCACGCCTCACTAAATGCTTGTTGATGAATTTTCATTCTGAATGAAGAACTACAAACTCCTATTTATGGTGTTCATCACTGGAATACACAAGCATGCACAGATCCACAAAATAACAGCTTTCAGTCACGCAGCTGATCTTTACATTCGTCTTTATTACTTTGAAAGAAAAGCTTCATTTCTCAGTTAGCTTGTGTAAAATACACACCCCCAGAGGTACAGATTTACAATCCAAAGATTTGAGAATGAGACAACCCGAAACTTATTTACCTGGATTTATATTTTTAAGAAGTCATAAGGGGGAATAGGATTCCAGGAAAAATACTGGATACAAATAAAACTAGGGAGGCCATCATTGCTTCATTGGACCTGCAGAGCAGAAAGACAAGCCAGGCCAAGTAATATGCATGGAAAACGAGGTGGAGAAAGATAAAGCTATTAGCAAAAGTGAGGCTTGGATTAGAACGAAGCCCCACTCCAGCATATATCCATTCACCCTCTCCCACACAGACACAGAGATATTCCTTAACAGGTCACATCAACAGATCTCAAGAGCTTTTAATGACTAATGTTAAGAAAAGTTGAGGCTTATACCTACACAGGGAGCTGGATTGCCCCCTATTTACAAAAGAGCAAAACTGAGGCATGAACCACCTCATTTCTTCTCTCACCTAAGCAGATGGTGGGGACTGAAAGTAGAGTTCATTTCCTCACCAGAAAAGCACTCACCTTACCTTTTGCTAGAATAAAATATTGAGGTTCTTTGGTAGTTTTTGTTCTCAGGTGTTGTATTTCTATGGAAACATACCTTTTTAAAGTAACAAAAATGATGACTGCTTTTAAAAACTCCATTTTACTTACCTGCCTTTTACTGCCATAACTGTTTCTATGGAAACTGAAGCTGGCCATGAAGCAGTCCTACAACATGAATTCTCACTTGTCAATTTTAAACTAAAGTGCCGCCTTCAAAGCCCTTCAGTAAAGCACTAATAATTGCATTGCCTAACAAGTTTTCAAAGTAAACAAAACAAGAAAGTGTGCTTTCACTGTATATTGCACACAATATTTTGTAGGTGTGGTCAGAGTTTTCACAGTGTGCATGATATGACTCTCTTGGTTAAGGATATGATCTTTTAAACAGAGAGACAGTTTATTAGCAGTAAAAGCCCTAGTGTGTGTAGTTAGACTTACATAAAGGTGACTTATGCCAATACGGGTATGTCTAGACTGCTGTCACAGAAGCATACTGTAGAGATACTGAGTAAATGGGTAAATCAACCTACAGTGAGCTCTGTGCTCAGCTAGCCTGGGTACTTCTGTGCAGGCATATGCATACGCTATTCCCTGTAGGTACAAGAGAGGGAATGCACTCAACCAGAGTGTTAGTCTCTGCTGGGTGACCACCATGGAAAAAAATAAAGCATGCAAACTTAAGGCACAACTATTCCATACAGTTATTCAGAATTAGAATCTCTGTAACTTAAATCTAGACTCCTCTTAATTCTGCCTTAACCTTTCAGTCTTGTAAAAACCATAGGCTCCCTTGTGTTCATTCATATTACTTCCCTGAGCAAACTCAAGTGAGAAAAAGCCCTTTTTGCTGTTCCTGGGGAGCAATCTCCAACAGAATGCACCCTCCATCACATGAGTCCAGCATTGCCAGCAAGGACAACTTAAAAACCCCCGAGGACAGGTTCTTTCAAGACTGACTATCCATCCTTCCACAGGCAAGCTCCTCTCACTTCATCTCTGAGGCTTTGCAGCTGCTTTTAAAGTGCAACAGGGACAGGACAGAGAGGGAAGACACTTTCATGAATCTCCAAGGCATAGAAAATAGGTGCCATGGAGTTTTAGGCAGACTTTACACACAGAAACACATCTAAAACCCAGGAAGCGCAGCATTAAAGGTGGATGCAGCAGAACCCATTAGAAGCTGTGTGTATGACTATACAAGCTGCAGAGGACAAAGATGTAATCCTATTTTGGTATGAATTTATTTTAAGGAGACCCTAAAGAGCAACATGATCTGCAGACTATCTTTCCTCCAATACTTAGCAAACTCATCCAGCCCACACACTTGGCTGACACCCTCAGGAGAACCAGGGTCAGTCTTTCTTCTAGCCCAGGAGAGGAGATCACCTTTCCCACTGAGCCAGCAGTGTTCTTTTAACCCTTTCCCAGCAAAATCAGCTTCTGCTAATACAGAACATTTCAAGGAAATGGCCAAGCCAGTCTCTTAAATTAGATGCCACATTCTTCCGTATGCCCAAGACACCGCATACTTTCGTTCAAAAAAATCCATGAACTCATGCCAAGTAGGTGACTTGCCCATGATCAAGCAGTAGCATATAGTTAACTCCCAAAGCGAGTATGAATTTAGGAATCAAACTCCAAACTGCTTCATAGATGGCCTTTGTTTTTAAGCATCACTTCAAACTGATCAGTAATCAGAGCAGGAATCTGAAAAACAAACCTTCCCTCTGGCCAACCAGACCTTTTGCAGGCATAAATTTAAGCTGCAATTCCCCTCAGTACCACTTCTCTCTGAATCTGGACTTCTTTCACTTATTTCCAGAGACATGGGACAGGCAGGCAAAGAATAGAGAAGACTTCCACAATTCTTTATTAATCATCTTCTCTTTCATTTCCTCCTGCACAAGTACATCCTTACAGCACCTCTTCAGGCCCATAGTAAGATCTGACTAACAGGTACCCAACTCGAACCAGAGCAGCAGTGCTAGCAGTAGGACAGCCTGCAGGGAAACAAATTAGTGAGCCCTGCAGCAAGAAGGTAATTTACAGCAGCAGAATGATTCATACATCATTTTCCACTATGAACAAACACACCATTTCTTTAAGGACAGAGTTTTCCACAGGCCTCTGAATGCAAATGCCAAATATTTTGTCATGCCTTTCTCTTAGCCTATATCTCACTGCAGCCAGAGCTTGGAATGAGGCATATAATATAACAACAAACCAGAGACCTGGCACACATGGGGCTACTCACTGGCTTTCCTCATGCCTATGGTTTATTTTTCCCTGCTATGTCAATCCTTATAGGGCTTTACCACTACATCTGCCTCCTGGGAGTCTGCTATTTCAACTGTTCCAGGGAAGGTGCAGAGGAAAGAGGAAGGATACATTCAACCCTTTCTTCTCTTTTCAAGTTAAAGGTCTCACCTCCACACTATTAAACAGATTAATTAAACAGACAAGCCCCTGCAGCAGCAAGCCCTCTCTAAGGATAAATACTGAACAGTTCTGGGCTTTGAACTGTGGCACATAACAGAGATCAAACATCTTGCATGGCAGCCTTCTTTAGGCTAGTGTTATTTCATCAATGCCTTCCGTTCCCCTGCAAGCACAGAGATGAATAGTATTTTTCCCTGAAAGTGACAAGGAACATAAGACACAAAAGATAATGGGGAGCATGGAGATTACAGTGGGTCTTGCTGGCTTTCATGTTTTCTTTTCCAAAGCATCTGATTTATGATTTGCCATTTGTGATGTAGGAAGCAATTTAAAAATAAGCAGCAAAATGGAGGCTGATTTTGAGAATTCTGGTCTAAACAGAATCCACAGCAACATGCATCAGTAGTGTGCATGATAGCCAGGGGAATCCAGACATGCTCGACAAGCAGTGGGCAAGGCTGCAGGGTGGGAAAGGGATGCAGGACTCCATTCCTAAATATAACTTTTCAGAGAAAGGCCAGGACTGTGCTTCAGTAGTGCAAAAGTTGTGCATATTCGGGAATACATATTTACAGACATGGGTACACCAACGCTGCCAGGAAGACCAGGCAAATCTTTTGATTGTTTGCTTATATGTCTTTTCTCTAGGTATTATAAAGTATATATAAAAAGGAAGATCCACAGCTATTACCATATGGAAAGACCACGAGATCAGTCTTTAAGCCAGAAAAAATGAATCCTGTCATGCCCACTGTTGTAAACAGCACTCTGGAGCAGTGCCTTTTCTTTAGGGTTGTAAATGTGAGGACAACCATGTCATATCTTACTGCAAGGAAAGAGCAGTTTCTTTTCTAGCTCCCCTCCTATATTAGGATGTCCAGAATCAGGTTGATACAACTTTCACTAGGAATAGCGAGGAAGTTAGCAAGGATATTAACAAAAGTATTTTAACAGCTTCTCTGGAGCTAGACAAAAATAGTATTTGGAGAATCAGAATGCTCTTTTTTCTCCCTCTATCTAGACCATATCAGGTAATAGCAGCTTTTCAGGGTCACTCAAACTGTCCTTCCCCCCTCCTTTATCTGGAATGGACCACAACAAATGTATCTTATCTTCTCTCTTTAAAATGTCATATAATATCCTTCCATAGTGCTGACAACATCACTGTTTCTCTCCAGCAGTTCCAAGACACGGTTCATCACCATTTCAGGCAGAGAGGGGTTGTAGCTCTGACGAACACAATTTAAGATATGAAGGAAATGGCAGCCTTTTTCAGCATCTGCAGGAAAAAAAGAAGTTAAACACAGTCAGGCATGGAGGAAAGGCTTCAGACTCTTAACTATTATAATCCAGATTAGTCATGAAAAAGCCACAGCTGTCAAAGAGGAAGATCCCTAGGTACTAAAGCAGAGATGTGTATATTCAGAAGGAAGAGACCCAGCCTATGCCTACAGCTCTTCGATTCTCAACTGTTCCTCCTGACTTTTCTGGGAAGTGTCAGGGCTATAACACTAACAATAAGGGCAAAATATCATCAGTCTTGCAAACTCTAATATACAGGGCTCATTCAGTACAACCTGTTGATCATAGAATCATAGAATAGTTAGGGTTGGAAAGGACCTTAAGATCATCAAGTTCCAACCCCCCCCTGCCATGGGCAGGGACACCTCGCTCTAAACCATATCACCCAAGGCTTCGTCCAACCTGGCCTTCAACACTGCCAGGGATGGAGCATTCACAACCTCCCTGGACAACCTATTCCAGTGCCTCACCACCCTCACAGGAAAGAATTTCTTCCTTAGATCCAATCTAAACTTCCCCTGTTTAAGTTTTAACCCATTACCCCTTGCCCTACCACTACAGCCCCTAATGAAGAGTCCCTCCCCAGCATCCCTATAGGCCCCCTTCAGATACTGGAAGGCTGCTATGAGGTCTCTATACAGCCTTCTCTTCTCCAGGCTGAACAGCCCCAACTTTCTCAGCCTAACTTCATACAGGAGGTGCTCCAGTGCTCTGATCATCCTCGTGGCCCTCCTCTGGACTTGTTCCAGCATATCCATGCCCTTTTTATGTTGAGGACACCAGAACTGCACACAATACTCCAGGTGAGGTCTCACGACAGCAGAGTAGAGGGGCAGGATCACCTCCTTCGACCTGCTGGTCACACTCCTTTTGATGCAGCCCAGGATACGGTTGGCTTTCTGGGCTGCAAGCGCACACTGAAGCCGGCTCATGTTCATTTTCTCATTGACCAGCACCCCCAAGTCCTTCTCTGTAGGGCTGCTCTGAATCTCTTCTCTGCCCAGCCTGTAGCTGTGCCTGGGATTGCTCTGATCCAGGTGTAGGACCTTGCACTTGTCATGGTTAAACTTCATGAGGTTGGCATCAGCCCACCTCACAAGCGTGTCAAGGTCCCTGTGGATGGCATTCCTTCCCTCCAGCGTATCAACCAAACCACACAGCTTGGTGTCATCAGCAAACTTGCTGAGGGCGCACTCAATCCCACTGTCCAGGTCAGCGACAAAGATGTTAAACAAGGCCGGTCCCAACACCGATCCCTGAGGGACATCACTCGTTACTGGTCTCCAGCTGGACATTGAGCCATTGACCACAACTCTTTGAGTGCGGCCATCCAGCCAGTTCTTTATCCACCGAGTGGTCCATCCATCAAATTGATGTCTCTCCAATTTAGAGACAAGGATGTTGTGTGGGACAGTGTCGAACGCTCTGCACAAATCCAGGTAGATGACATCAGCTGCTCTACCCCTGTCCATCAGTTCTGTAGCCCCATCATAGAAGGCCACCAAATTGGTCAGGCAGGATTACCCCTTAGTGAAGCCATGCTGGCTGTCACCAAGCACCTTGTTGTTTTTCATGTGCCTTAGCATGCCTTCCAGGAGAATCTGCTCCAAGATTTTGCCAGGCACAGAGGTGAGACTGACTGGTCTGTAATTCCCTGGGTCATCCATTTTCCCCTTCTTGAAAATGGGGGTTATATTTCCCTTTTTCCAGTTGTCGGGAACTACTTCACCTGACTGCCATGATTTTTCAAATATGATGGCCAGCGGCTTAGCAACTTCATTTGCCAGCTCCTTCAGGACCCGTGGATGGATTTCATCAGGACCCATGGACTTGTGCATGTTCAGATTTTTAAGATGGTCTCGAACCAGTTCCTCTCCTACAGTGGGCCCAAGGTCTTGACTGTCACAGTCCCTGCTTCTGCCTTCCAAGACTTGGGTGGTGCGGTCAGAGCCTTTGCCAGTGATGACCGAAGCAAAGAAGTCATTCAGAACCTCAGCCTTCTCCAAATCCTGTGTGTGTAGTTAATAACTTCAGGGTACCTCCACTGAACACTTATGCAAGCCATACAGTTTCTGCAAGTGCAGAAGAAACCACGTTAAAACCCTTTTGCTCATACCCAAGTTCAAAGCCAGCCAGAACAGAGAAAGTTCCGTGGCCAAGACCCTTAACTGCTTGCCCAATGCTGGCATCTTGTGGAAAATCTGCTACAATGCAACTTTCATTCTTCTAGCAGTGCGATCCCATTCCCACACTTCAGACTACTCAGACAATAACGGAAGTAGCAATTCACAGAAGTATCAAATTTTATGTTCTTTTAAGAGGAATTAACCATGAAAATATACAAGAGATCAGAAATGCAACAGAATCCCCTTTCCTGGAAGGCAAACCAGAGACAAAAGTCCTTAATGGCCGCTGCAGTACTTTATGCAGCTACTGTGGGCCTGGTGGAGTCATCACTTGAAGCTCAGCTGTCTCAGCCAACATTTCATCCAACACATCCTGTAAACCCAGTCTCCCCAACAGCTGAACTTGCAATAGGTTTCTTTCTCCCCCCTGGCTAATAATGGAAAGGAACATAAATGAGATGGATCAGAAAAAAATTACTCCCTCCTCCTCAGCTCACATGATGTAATTTAAGTTTGAGAAGTTACAGGGGGGTTCCTGTAACTCATTCTTGCTGCCTTTGTTTATATTTTTGCCACTCTCTACTCTGGAATCAGCTGAACCACAGGACTGCCTTAGAAGCTATGGAGAAAAGTCACTGGTAGGCAGGAGGCAATGCTGAGTACTGGGAAATAAACAGCTCAGCCTAATTCCTATTAGGCTGTGAATCCAGCAAAGATACTTCTTTAGAAGTCAGTAATCCAGCATGATAAAACACCTGAGTGGCTGGTAGCCAAAAATGCATCCACCACTCTAGGATGGCTAAATGCAAGGAACAGAACAATGCCTCTACCTGGACATAGTGACTATTGTTGCAAACAAAGTAGCTAGCTGCATTTTGCATTAGTCACAGGTTTGTCATAAGAAGGTTCAAAGTGCCCATCCCTGATCTAACTTACCTTAAGTCTCAGTGAATTAGAATAGTGACTCAACTGTTACCCAACAGTACAATACATACTTTCCTCCTACATGCTGGCAGAAAATGGCATTTTGGGGTAGCTGCAGGTATGTACTATCATTAAGTAAACCAGAAACACTCCTAGTCTATGATCCAACTTTGAGGGAATACACTCCTTGCAGTAGAGTGATGCTGTCCCTCTTTCACTGACATACTGCACTGCAGCTTCTGTCCACCAGCTGAGGTAAGCCAGGTTGTGAATAACCTACCAATATCAGGGAGGATAGAGTCACAGAACAGGTACCATTTGTCACTGTGGACATCTCACACGGGATCTATTCTGACATAGTAAATTTAACTTGCAGTGGTCCTGGTTTTTTTTTCCCCTTCATTACTATTGGCTCTCAGCTAAGCCTAAAACCAGAGTAAAATTAAAAAACAAAACAAAAACAAACAAAAAATACTCCCTCCCCCCCAAAAAAACCTAAACCAAACAACCCAAATCAAATCCACCCACCCATATCCGGACTAAGTCTTCCATTTTGCAGTTCAGGCTGGAGTCGAAATGTGCTGTCATCCTTTTCTGGCTATCTTAGGCCTCTAGGAGGACTCAGAGTGGCCTTGTATGAGGGCACTTAAGATCAGAATGTGGAATTACAATTGGAGCCAAGGAGTAGGCTTGTCAAGTAGGCATATTACAGGTCAGGGTTTGTGGAGCTCTGACTAGGCATGCTGGGGATTTTCTTTATTTCTAAAGTAGTTCCAGACAACTGGGCTGGGCCTGAGAATGTGTCACAACTAAAGCAATGGGGTGAGGCATTGCCTTGAAAACTGGCAGACAAGTAACCCACTAGAGAGAAGAACTTGGTTCACCCTAAATCAGTCTTTCTGTCATGGAAGATTAATACTACTTTTGAAGGAAAATGGGTAACAATTTCTTGTAACAAATAAGCAAAAGCCCTTTAGGTATTACCATGTTATGTTCTCACCACGAGCCTACTCGCTCTTCAAGGCCAAGCTGGCTAAGACTGCCAACCCACCAGCAGAGGGGGGCAGACAGTCACATTGAGCTCTGTGCTCTTGCATCATTCAGCGACAGTAAAATACCCGCAGTACCCTGTTGGTTTGGATTGAAACTTCTTGGCTTTCCTCCTCAGAATCTCCTATTACCAATGCATTGAAAAGGTTTTTCTGAAAACTAGCAAAGAGACACTGACCTGGAAATTGTCCTCTTTACAACAGGAAACTAAGGAGATGGAAAGCTTCAAGCAGAACAAGAGGCTCTGTAAAGCGGTTGCTATTTTTAACCTGCTCAGTATGGAAAATATGGCTTTGAGGACTCGGGACTCTTTAAAGCATTTTCTGGGACTCATCTACAAGTTTCTGTTTGCTGTTGACTCTTCCCAACTAGGAGAAAGATCTTCCCAACCTCTCAGTACTTCACCAGTGTGACAATACATAAGAGAGGAGTTAAACACCAGGCAGCCGCTCAGTGCCCTGTGTCAGCTATATGCAGGTTCTGGCCTTTATAGTGGCAAAAAAAATAATGGGTTCCCATGAGAACCAGCTGGTGCATAAAATGGGCAGAAGAATGGTTTGACTCTTACAGAGATTGTATTTGTTAATTGGATAAAAGACAATAAAACAATGTGATATGGTACCTTGTACCAGAACAGCCTCAAGCAAACAAGCCCATCTTCACCTGCATGCCCTTTAACAACTACTCCCTCCACTCCTCAAAGATACAGAACTCCTACCTCCACCTAGGAACCCCATCTGCAATTACCCCACCGCTTGAAATAGCCAGTTGAAACCTCAGAAATAATACTACTTCACTTTGCCTATTTTCTTTCAGGATAAGAATCATACACCAGGTCCTACAAGCACTATTATGGTTGTGATATTATAAGAGCAATTTAAGATTATATGCCTGATGTTCTAGTCAGTCATTTATTCTGTGCTAAAGAGCCTTCTACCCCACAAATAGCTGCAAGTGATCCCTGCTGACACGTTCTGTCCAATGAATTGAAACTCTGTAGCAATGTGCCAGTGTAATTAGCAAACGCTCAAGTTAAGCGAGCTGCTATGGCAATATGACACAGTAGACTTGAGGGACAGGGATAATTCAGAAGCCACATGAGGTACATTACCTGAAAAGAAGTGGATTTTGTTAGACTGAAATTCCTACCTGCAAAGAACAACCACCTGAGCTCTACCTGAGCTTAACATCTACAGCAAATATCCTACTGACTTAAGTTTTATTGTTGACTTAATGAAGGTGGGGATTTTACCCTTCTGCACAGTCACTTTTTGTGTCAACACCCCTGTAGGAACTGAACTAGCAAGATTTGCTACTTATCTGAAGTGCAAAGCAACAGCTGCTAAGTGCTGACCTAACTGTGTTATGTTTGGTTCCTCCCAAAATCTAAGTATTCTCCAAAGATACAGATCTAAGATAACGGCTAATTGTTTCAGATCTGAGAGGTCTGCTTCCTGCTGGGCACACCTGCTCCTTCTTTCTCCATGCTCACAGGAAGCTGCTTTCAGCTATAGTGATCAGCTACACCAACAGCTTAGCTCCAAGTTCAAGGGTAAGGACAAGAAGCATATCTAATCCAGCAGCAGGAGGAGATATTGCCATCGATATATCAGCAACAGCTCATAAAAGCCCTGATTACATTGTTACTTACGCCTGGGTTTTCGACAGTCTTCTTTAATCACATCAAGGGTCACTTCAAGCAGCTCCTTATCATAGTCAGTCACCTGGAGAAAACAGAGAAACTGACAGTTTATAGCTGTCTATTTCACAGTAAATGGCATGGCTGTTGAAAAGCAATCCAATGCCATGATGTATTCTAAACCAACACTGTCTTAACTACAGTCTGCATTATATACTGCCTCTGAAATTAATAATGAATGATAACTCTGTAGTTATTATTTTTAGTACTATTAGCAGCACCCATGAGTTAAGCAAAGTACATCATATAACAGAATCCAAAGGAGGGTGGGTAACCAACTCAGTAGAACACCAAGTGTCACCCCACTTCGATCAAGAGAACTATCCCAGGTCTCAGGCTTCAGCGTACTCAAGCTGCATCAGCAGTTCTGCAACCATTGAACACAGACTGCACTTAGAATAGCATCAGTGCTTAAGTCTGGTGCTGAGTTACAAAAAGAACCACTCAGTAGGTGAGTGCCTGTGGGCCAATGCCAATCTCACAAAGTTCAACAAAGTGAAGTGCAAGGTCCTACACCTGGGTCAGGGCAATCCCAGGCGTAGCTACAGGTTGGGCAGAGAAGAGATTCAGAGCAGCTCTGTGAAGGATGACTTAGGGGTGTCAGTCAATGAGAAACTGATCATGAGCCAGCTTCAGTGTGCTCCAGCAGCCCAGAAACCTGGATGCTTGGCTGTATCAAAAGGAGTGTGACCAGCAGGTCAAAGGATGTGATCCTGCCCCTCTACTCTGCTCTCGTGAGACCCCACTTAGGAGTATGTTGTGCAGTTCTGGTGGCTCCAATATAGGAAAGGATATGGAGCTGCTGGAGCAAGTCCAGAGGAGGCCAGAAGGATGATCAGGGGTCTGGAGCACCTCCTGTATGAAGACAGACTGAGAAAGCTGGGGCTGCTCAGTCTGGAGAACAGGAGCTGCATGGAGACCTCGTAGCAGCCTTCCACTGTCTTAAGGGGGCCTATAAAGAAGCTGGAGAGCGACTTCATCAGGAACTGTAGCAACAGAACAAGGGGTAATGGGTTCAAACTAAAACAGGGGAAGTTCATTCTGGATAGAAGGAAAAAGTTCTTTACTGTGAGGGTGGTGAGGCACTGGAACAGGTTGCCCAAGGAAGTGGTGAATGTTCCACCCCTGGCAGTGTTCAAGGCCACGTTGGACACGGCCTTGAGCAACCTGTTCTAGTAAGAGGTGTCCCTGCCCATGGCAGGGGGTTGGAATGAGACAATCCTAAGGTCATAGAATCATAGAATCATAGAATAGTTAGGGTTGGAAAGGACCTTAAGATCATCAAGTTCCAACCCCCCTGCCATGGGCAGGGACACCTCACTCTAAACCATATCACCCAAGGCCTCGCGCAACCTGGCCTTGAACACTGCCAGGGATGGAGCATTCACAACCTCCTTGGGCAACCTATTCCAGTCTTTTCCAATCCAAACCATTCTATGATACAGAGATAAAAGCAACACTGAAGTAAGCTGCAGGTAAGACTTCTAGTAAAGAGACAGCACTTGGATGCCCAGCTTCTTTTATTGAAACATTTCTACTCTCTGTGAAAGTCATAGCCCTGACCTTCTTTGCAACCACAGCTTAGTTTCTTACATGGTATAAGTCCTTGGAACTACCAGGTTTCTGGAAAACCACCCCTTTTTCTTGTAGCATCGTTATTGCTTGCTTAAAAACACCGTGAATCCTTTTGGAACTGCAGTTACTTTTTGACTTCACCTGGATGGGAAGAAAGGAATAAAGCAGATGGTGAGAAATCTCAGCTCAACTAAAGTTTCCAGTAACACCTCCAGATGCTTTCAAAAGCAAGACAACTTCAGGTGATTTTATTACACTTTCAGGGTTTTTATTTTGTAATTCACAAACCATATCTGTTATGCATAAACCAACCAACATCCCTGAGCTTTAAAAACAAACAAATACCAGGAGATTTTGCTATTCTTAAGGAATTGCAATCTCCTAAATACCTTCTTTGTATTTAGCAGCTATCTGATTGTGTACTGACAACTCTCTTTTGGAATAGGTTTGTGATGCTCACACAGCGTTTGACTGTTTAGCTAATCAAGCTTTGATCATATTCAGAGTTTTCCTGGTAATAAGGGTAGTGCTTTGGAAGGTGATATTCAGGAAGAATCCAAATGCTGGGGACTAGATGCCCATCTCTTGATTTGAAACTGAGGAAGCATCCAAGGAAAAGGAGGAAACCAGCAAGAGCAGTATTTATTTCTTGTCCCCTGCGTTCATTCTGGTCATGCTCTCAAGAGATTCTCCACAGCCTGATGAAGTGAAAGGATAAAAAGCACGTAAGACATTAAGACAGGTATACAAAATGAGTGAACAAAGGGTTTAGTTTTGAGGGCAGGCAGGGAACAAGCCTCTTGTGAAAGGAGGTGGGCCTGGAAGTCCATAACTGAGGATGCCATTTAGAATAAAGGGTTCTGCACTTGGGACACTCCTAATAGGGTAGGAAGGAAGAGGAGGAAAAAAAATTAGGGAGAAGCAGGGTTTGCTTGGAAACAGAACAGAGCCAAGACAGTGGAATGACAGCTAGGGAAGTGGGAGGAAAAGAAGAATCAGTTGTGGAGAAGAGAAAGTACGGGTAGACAAGAGCAAGAGCACAACTTACTCTTTTCCACATCTTACATGTCCTACTATGCCCTGCAACTTCCCATTTATCTGCACAGAGTACTTCATTCCCCAATTGTTGGTTGCTCATTTGTTGGGAGCACACTGTGCTCCCTGTGGTTTCCTTTGCGAAGAGAGCTAAACTGCTTCCCACAAACCAACATGTGATAACTAGAACCACACCAGAGCAACCAAAGCATGATTTGGCAAGCTATTTCTTCAGCTTTCACTGTAAATGCTTCCACCCTGTTCTGAAAAAAAGGACTTCACATATCCTACTTCACTCACAGAAGCCTTGGGAGTGAAACAGGCAACCACCTATGCACTAGAATGAATTTGCACAAATACCTGAAACAGACACCACGTTAGCAATACAAGAATATCTTTCCACAAAACATTCATTCAATCAATTTGCAAGTCTCAAACGAAACTCCAGCTGCTTCTAAGCCTGGAAGCTGATGTGTCTAACTGGGAACAGTTCAAAGATCCAATAGGGATTTATGTGTTAGCATGTATCATGAGTTTCTCCATCCCCTCCCTCCAACCTAGACCTCAATATTTCGACAGGCCATAGTCAAATCTCACTCTTTCTGTGTCCCACAACAGCTTTTTCCTCTCAAACCGAGAGTCAAAAATCATTGCATAATAGTTCAAAGTAATTAATACAGAACAATGGCTATTATTCTCAGTTCAGTTTTCTCCTTCTCTTCCAGACGGAAGGACTTCAGTGCCCAAATGTTGATCTGTGCCCCTGTCCACCACAGCTATATCAGTGTGGATAACAACAGTCACTGCTTCCAATTACAAACTTGACCATACATCTGGACACCATTCCAGTCATAGCTTTAATACCACTATCATATTTCTCTTTACAATGCCTCTTCTGAGAAACTGAAGAAACAAATATAAAATGTAGCAGGAAGGGTTAGGAGTGAATATTTTCTCATGGAAAAGCACACTGCCTTCACCATACGTAAAATGAAGGGACTTTGACTCTCAAATGCAGTAATAAATCCTCAAGAATCTAAGAAACTGCTAGCAAAGCAACCACCTCAAGACTCTGATCAATTTTTAATGTGAAAGCAAACATTTGGGGAAAGAAAAAAAAAAAGATAAAAATATCTCCAAAGCAGCACGATAATTATTCAGTTTGGCTTAACACTGAGAGCCCGTCAGAAGAGGGAGATAATTAAAACCAGACTCTGTGTGAACTGACACACAGCTCAGCCTGGATGGGTACTGAAACAGAATCACTAAGAATGCAAGTCAAGGCACTGACAGAGCAAAGGCAAAGAAGCAGGTTTGGGGGTGAGAAAATAAGTAAGCAGCTGCTACGTATCAGCACTCTCCCATATGTCTTGCAGAGTCCAAGTGAAAGGGCTCCACTGCAGGACTGTTCCTGAAAAACTAATGAGGGCTCCTGCCCTCTTCAGAGACTTCAACATTACCCTGAAATGACACAAAAAGTTTGCATTTTTTTCCTGGTGTGCTCTAGAAGATGCTTCCTCCTTTCCACCCCTACAAGTACAGCTACAATTGAGGAGTTTTTCCGTGAACACAAGACAAAATTACTTAATCTGTTCTTTTGGTCCACTCAAAATATCTCCAGCATCTCACCCTGAAAATGCATAAGTCAATAGTACTTCTTACCAATACCTTACCACTTTCCGTTAAAGCAAACCAGGCTATCACTTATTCTGGACTTGGAACTCGTCAGAGCCAATAAACACCTAAGCTTCTGATTTAGTCTACTGAGCAGAAATCTGCAGGAGACTGAACATGGGGCTATACACAGAGAGAAGAAATCTAGGCTATGAGATCCTGCTTTTATTTCAGATTTGAAATGCAAGCATTTATCACAGTTACTAGGATGCATTGTAGCTGTTAGTGTAGTTCCTTCTGAGTCACAGCTTATTAGCCATCACTTTACTTTTACAAAGCTTCTCATCAGAGAAATGCAGATGTTTAGTAGTTTAACTGCTCATCCAAAGCACCAGCAAGATTTGAATATGGATTTTGAATTTAACTCTTGCAATGTTCACATTTCGCTTTGCAAAATGCCCCTCAGCATGCCTTAGTTTCCCCAAAATCGTTCATTGCTTTTGCAAAGCATTTTCCTCCCCCCTTACAGAAAGAGAAGCAGCTATTAAATAACAGTTTTACCATCACTACCCCCACTCCCAAGACCACCCAAGGACTCTGTAGCAAAGCCAGCAGAAGAATCTGTATCTCCAGAATTGGTATTTTAATGAATATACTACTTCTTAAGAGTTTCACACAGCTTAGTGAGCAGGTACTGTGCAACCAGTTATTCTCAGATCTTTAAAATGAGACAAACTCTGTACAATCAATAATAGGTCAAAGAATGAAGTGGTACAGGAATTAGTTTGTTCAATATGCTGAAAGTATGCAACCTTTGGCTTATTACAAATCACAACACACCCTGATGGTGTTAAAGTTTCCTGGTATAACCACACACGTGATTCTACTCACGGAATTGCCCTTTGCAGTTTCTCATGCAATGTTTAATCCTTAGCATAGACAGGTGATAATTTTAGTAATAGTGACTCTGGACTTGTCAGTCCTGCAGTCCTATAATAAGCTCTGCAATATACATATTTAAAGCAGTAGTGAAGCTTCCTCAAGAGGCAGGAAGACAAGCACATAGCATTAAGAATGTATAATGCACTATATTATACCTACAGTACAATGTACAGGGTATATACAGTAAGTACAAACAGCACCATAAAACTCCCTGCTTTAACAAGTGTACTTGTCATTGATGACCCCAAGATAATATTCAAATCACAAGTAGTAAAAATAATAGAGCCTGAAAATCACAACCCAAGTTATGTGTCCAAGCTAGCGACATACTCATAGGTCATACACAAACTAGAATAGCAATACTAAAATAGCACACACTATAGCTTATGCATGAAAGAAGTACATAAAAATGGTTAATCAGGGCTGGCTAGATGCAAGTCATATTTAATCCAGTTGAGAAATTGGATGGACCAAGTGCACATGTAGTTTTCTTCATTAAAAGGAGCCAAAGGCTTGTCTATTTGCCAAACACGATTGCCTAAATCTAGCAAGTACACCCTTAGGTTCTCTAAACACAAGCTTGCTTCTTGTGTTTCTTGCTTTTAGTCTTCCTTGTGGCACCAAGCCCATCAGTCTCAAAAGTCATTTGTTTTAAGGGATAAGGGAAAGGCTACAGCTTAGGGACAGAGGGGGCACTTGTTATGTGAAATAAATCTCTATTGGCTTTAGAAACATTGAGCCTTCCAGTTCTCTTACCCATCCTCTGTAGGCTATAAAATTAAATACTCTCCAGTATATGTCTGAGCAGAAGACATGATTAAGACATGATCTGAGTTCTGCTATGTGCATCTGCTAGAGGGAAATTTATTCTGGAGAGCCAGAAGACTGCACTGCTGGAGAGCCATTAGGACTGGAACATGGATGGTATGTAGACAGGCCTCAGGGTACAGTAATGCTGAGAAAGAACAGACATGCTGCCTACCTCAAGCTATACCAGCTACCTCCTTCTGTCTTCAACCCCTACTCCATGCCATTGCCAGTGACTCCATAGCAGCTCACCACCTCCCTGAAGAAAATACTCCACAGGGAGATACCCTCCACTATGATGAACACTGTGCAAGTACTTAAAAGGCTGGTAAAGAGATGAAGCAGGTGCACCACATCTCCTAGGGTCACAGGGTGAGGAAGACAGAGGCAAGAAGAGTTTAACAGCAACTGTTGCGGGGTTAAAAAAGATGAAGCTATACATCCAAATAACTTATCCTTTCACATAAAGGAAAAATGCAAGAAGTGAGCAAGTGCATTATTGACATGTGGTCTAATTGTTTGGTCCACTGACCTAGCTATTCCCTAGCCAAATAGACATAAAATAACATCATTCCACCCAGAACCCTTTATCCTTTTGGTTTGAGAGCAATACAAAACAGAAGACTATAGAGGGGAAAAGAGAAAAAGAGTGAGAGAAACCAGATCTATTACACTTATTTTTGTGGATCAAACTGGGTACTTGACCCTTTGCCAATTATGAGAAGTGACCACTTCAAGAGACAGGGTAAAAGATCAATGAAGCGCATTTCTAGACCATTACTTGCTGCTCCTCTTAAGGCATTCAGGTCACTTGACAACTGCAGGTTCTTTCTTATGCAAAGATATATAAGCCTCTTTGAAAGGGATTAATACCAAAGGGCAATAGGGAGAACTGCAATTTCTAAATAAGCATCTGTGTGCCCAAATTCCTAGGACACATACTCACACCTTTGCATCATGGTCAGGAGTAACTATTCATTATTATGACAGTTCCTCATGGCTGCTAACAACACTGATGCTACACTGGTTTTGTTGGTTTGAGGTTTTCTGGTTGGATGGTGGTGCTTTATTGTGCCTTTTCCTTGTTCTGCACCAGTTCCTACTTTAAATGGCTTTGCAAGTTATTCATCTTGATCTTTCTATAAATGCTGAAACTTCAAAGGTGGAAGTTTCCATTATTAGTTACAAGGACCACTACTTTCTTTAATGTAAAGCATTTGGGAACTTTTAACACAATTCCAGCTAGTTTAGAAAACATACCCTGCCCTGTGTTGGATATTCTAGTATCAAACTTTTATCTCAAAAATGAGAGCTGCTCCTGTTATAGTTTATGCTCACTTTAAAGCAAACAACAAAACCACCTTCAATAAAAGAAACAGCTAAAACAGCTATCAGGAAGCAGCTATGACCTCATCTACAAGGGAATGTTTTTTGTCTTGTTTGTTTGGTTTGGTTTTGGGTTTGTTGTTTTGATTTGTTTGTGGTTTTTTTTTAAGAATTAAACAGACATCAGATGTTAATATAACACAGCACTTAACTTTTACAGTGCATATCAAAATCAGGCAGTGAAAACGACTGCCACGGATTTATTTCTCTAGAGAAACCCAAGTATAAACAAGCGTATCACAACACAAGCTTAAGTTTCAGTTGCCATTGGTAACATGGTAAAAGCCATAACTGTTACTTCTGCAGAAATTTACCACTTCACACCAGTTAAGAATCTGGTCTGTAATTTATCCAAATAACACAGAGTAATATGAAGCCATTTGACAAAATGTTTGTTGCTCTATTTCCAATTCTGCAGTAGATCAAGAATGTACTATCTCACTGGAAAGTTTCTTAACAGTTTGGTTACACGCAACTGCATGGAATCTGATTTCAGCTAAATTCCACCTTCTGATCCTTTCAAACATGGCCTTTCACAATTAGGGATTTCTAACAAAAGAAACATGTAGCAGGGAGCACTGTTCATCCACTCATTTTAATCTCCTTTTGAAAGCTACATCTCTGTTAATACATGGAGCTTCAAATGAGAAAGACTGTCTTCCTTTTCCTGATCAAATTCAGGATCTCAAACATCTGACCCAAACAGCTCAAGCACCTTAAAGGGATCTTCCTTTTCTCATACTGCCACTATTTACAGATCTAGGTAAATTAGTGCCTGTTGCAGACTAAGGTTACTTAGGCCTAATACAAGATTACACTTAACAACAGGATTTTCTCACACTGCTTTCTTCAGTCCAGTTTTATACGTCTCAAGTGACCAGGTTTCCTCAATCTTTGTAAACAATTCATGCATGAAGCTAAAGCGCTTGTGGCTTTTGAACCCTCCCAAGGCACCAGCCTCTTATCTGGCTGTTTATGCATTAAAAAAGTACGTGGTATTTTTCCCCCCCACTAAACACTTGAAACAGTTACATTCACTTACCTCCTGACAGTCGGGAGTGGATAGATGCGCACCAACCAGCGACACCAACGTATCAATTGTTTCCAACTCCTGTTGGTAAAAGGTCTGAATTTTGTTTTCTAATAGAAAACCTTGCACTTTCTCATGCAGCACATTGATCAAGAATGCCTGATCCTCCAGGCCACTACAAGGATACACAGAACATGTCAAAAGGCAAGAAATAACATTCTTAGCATTTGTTTAGTTACCTAAAGTTAGCCTGCTAGACTGGTTTGCAAAGATCTAAAGCTATTTCAGTGTCCTTAAAGAATCTGAATTTAAACCTTTAATTAAACCAGACCCTTTTTATACGCAATAAGCATTGAACTGTTCTTCTTAAATCATTTGCTGTAACAGTGTTGTGCTTTTAAGATCTGCAGTCTCTGAAAACACGCTACACGCATCAGACCTTCCAGTAAACATCCAGCTAAACTTAAACTGAATACAGGAACGGGTGGGTGTTTGAATCAGTTCATTGAGGTTATGTCTGTGATTTGATGACATGGGCAGTAGAAGCTGAGAGGATTTCAATGGAATAGCCCCTTACCCTTACACATAAAATCAGGCAAAGATGATCATCCATCTAATCTGTTGACCTCACCTCCAAATCTTGCTCAATACCCCAGCTTTTTTACTAGAAGCAAGAGATCTGTACATAGTATTTTACCCCCTTCTGAATGCTCACTTTGGTTCAGAGTTATATTTCTTTTATCAGATTATACAGAGGTATCTGTGCATAGAAAGGTTGGACCAGATGATCCTTGAGGACCCTCTCAACCTGGTATTCTGTGATCTCATCTGTGTGGTTTATGAATTATTTGGGAGAAAAGCAGGCTGCTACTTTACACGTATGCAGAGAGTAAATCACAGCTGGGCTCTTTTCCATCTTTCTCCACAGTTATTACAATAAGAAATAAACAATAATAAAAACCACACTTTGCCCCAAGACCAGTCTGGATACTGCATTTACCTCTGTCCCTCCTCAGGATCTTGGAAAGGTTTATCATAAACTTCTCTATAGAGACAGGGGAGTTCCAGCATCCTTGAAATCTGAACATTACACACAGGATCATCCACTTTATCTGGAGCAGTAAAAAGAACACACATAGTTGGCCAGGACTGCCATACCAATCTTATAAGCAAAAATACCTGAGGCAACACAACAGAGCTTCCCATGCCAGCATTAAATTGGCAAATTTTGTTCACTTCTGCTTTTATAAAAACAAAACCACAAAGGCCACTCCTGCTTTTACAGTTTACAAGGAGGTAAATGGCCTGTTGTGATGCATTGCAGATCATGCTTTTGTCTGACAACTTATTTAACCAGACTTCATGATCTCTATTTTACCTTTCAGAAGTCTTTATCCATTACATAAAGTTAACATATAGTAAGGACCCTTTTTTGGACCAAAGTAAAAGCAATTTAGAGGCTATTTGAACTGCATGGCTCTCTTTTACTGAAACAATGGTGTTATTACCAGCCCTTGAATGGGTTATACATTCATAAATCTTCTGTCTGGAAAGGAGGTTGAATTCCCTTTCAGGTTTTAATTAGAGCCAAAAAAATCTAGATCTTTTTGCTAAGCTACATAGATCTTGTATAAAAGATGGGCTTCCCCCCAAGGAATCATTTTTAGATTGTCTCAAAGGTTTCACTGGGGAAAACTGACTCTTACACAACAGCACAAGCACAGAGAAGTTACGTAAGTGGGAGCTTGTAGGGTGCAATGAGTGGACTTCAGAGCCCTGCTGTCTAAAGAGCTGTCGGATACAGGGGCAGCACCTGCACACAGGTATGTGCCCTACTGCCTGAAGATGAGGCTTCACTTTGCAATTATTCTGCAGAACCAGAGAACCTGGAAGACCCTTGGCTTCAAGAGGTACAATGTGCCTATATGTTGCTGTCTGCCCACAGAATGGATTATACCAGCAACTGCTTCTTCAAAGCAGCTAATGCTCCTGGTGACACATGACATAAAACGTCACCAACTCCCTTCCCATGGGCTTTGTCTGTTCTACCTCAACACAAAGAAAACTGAAGAGCAAGTCATTGTCACAGATACCAAATCACAGTATCTGCATAGTATTCTTGTATGCATGCTAGTAATATTTTATAAATGAGGCATTTTCCAAGAAGGCCTCATTTACAGGCAATCTAATCCCATACATTTAGTAGTGTGCCTTCTAACCTTCCACTGCTAAAATTGAAATAAAGACATACAGATGTAAATCTCTTTAGAAACATGAGGTGCCAAAAAATAAAGTGGAAATGATCCAGTGAATTACATACAGCTTAGATCATCTCACGAATTCAGACAGCTATTCAGACAAAGATACACATGTCACAGGTCCACAACACTCACAAAAACATGAAGCCCGAATTTCTCTTTGTTGCCTGTAGGTTCGGATGCAACCTCTGACCCTGACAACATCCCCGATCTCCAGCTTAGTTTTCTGGCTCACCATTTCTTGAAGCTTCTTTATCTGTTCAAGCACAGTAAGGCTGCTGGGTGTGCTTGGACGACCTGCAAGAAGTGCGGGAAAGGAAATGGGGGATTAAGGCCAAGAGGACTGTCCTTTTGCATTCACCTAAGCATCTCAGGACTCACATTATAAAAAAAAGGATTAAGGTCCCAGGCCCTGTACGTCCTGGGTAGCAAAACATTTGGGTGATAAAGTCAGTTTACAGTATTATATTTATTTAAGAGATCACCCAGGGAAAGTGTAAAAGGGATGAGGAGGAGATACTGATTTACTACCGAAAATGCGGTAGGTGGGTTGCAAAGTTGAAACATTAATTGAAATGGGTTCTGCCATTTTTGATTTTGTCATGCTAAGATGGATGAGAGGTGAAAAGAAAGGTCAGCTGAACTTCTTACATAAAAAAATGAGTCATCTGAGGTGTGGCCAAAGTATTCATGCGATGCAATTTGAAGTCTACACTGAGATGAATGAAACTTGACAGAACTTCACATTTACATAACACACCTTTGCAGGAGAGTAAATTCTTCATAATGTAAAACCTGATTCATGATCCAAGAATCCCTGATGACAATTACAAAGGGCTGGAAGGAAGTTTCCTCTTCCCCCAGGAGCTATTTTCTTTAGCAAGGTACAAATTAATTGATTTCCACTAATAACACAGTGTCCATTCAAGCACTGCTGACGTACAGGTAAAATAAGAACACGAAGTTGAAAGCAGCATTCTCAGTCCTCACTCTCTTTCAAGCAGCATTTAGTTCCTCATAAAAACCAGATTTGATTGTGGATCCCCATTATTTATTTTTTTTTAAACTGTGCCACAACATCACCTCTCTAAAAGCGAGAACTGATTTCTAGATTCCAGTTGCAGTTGGGATTGTTTCTATCAATTGTCATATCACTGTTAAACAGAAGCAAGAATTATCTGTCTATAAAACTGGGCTTGTTTCACAGACAAGAGTTTTTAACTCCAAGTTTTTCTCTCCCCATTCTATGTGTAGATAACCCTAACACCACCACATGGCACTAGTAACATTTATTTCAGTAGGATTTTATCAGCTGTGTATCAGGGTTGTCAATCTACCACACAACCTCTGAAGTTCAAAAAAAGAGTGCATTCCATACTTTGACCTATGAGAAATGGTGGGAGAAAAATCAAAGAGAAAACCAGGCACTAGAAACCTCTTCTGTTATTGAACGCAATGATTAATTTCAAATGCACAATTTCTGCACATTTAGAACTTTCACAAATCATAAAAGACTGCTGGCATCCTCCCACTGTGTTTTACGCTACTTTCAAGTTCATCAAGGACAGTATATGCATAAGCAGAAGAATACAAATGCAAAGAAGATGAATGCTGAAACCACTGTATCACAAGAGTGGGGAAAGTATACCAGGTTGCTGGTCAACAGATTGGCTTTGGAAACGGAAGCTGTGGCACATGGCAGGTTTCCAGCCTAGTCCCCCACTAGATGAAGTCACAAAAAGAACCATAAGAGAAGGATTCTCTGAACAATGTCACAACATAGAATTGCAACACTGTATTACTCAGATAAGGAAAAGGCTTGACAGGTCATAGTGTAGTGCTCTCATTGGCATCACCATTGGACACAACATAAAGGGTAATATGAAGACTCCCAAAATGTACTAGGCTGCAGGAAGTGATGGTTTAAATTAAGAAAAGCATTGAATTTGCTCTTCTTCAAGTTTAATCATTTAGAAAATTACATAAGAGAGACAAGCAAAAATGTACAGTCAAAAAAGGAATTGTTTGTCAAATTACCTGATGAAGATGCTTCTGCTACCATGGGACTTTTCCAGCAGACACAATTTATAACTCCAGTACTATCATCCACTGTAAAAACAAAATAAAATTGCAAGAATGACAGAATAAGAAAGGTAGTGATGCTCCAGGAGGTGAAAGAGACATAGATATGTAGTGAGATGACTACAAAGGGTATTTCATTCCAACTGGTCTGAAGGAGAAAGCAGGTGCTCAATCCCTGCTTAATACCTCTGAGGTAGTCTCAACAGTCATTTCAGTCATGAAAGTAGCTCAGCACCAGGTACATGCTTATGTGCATAGTGAGCAGAGTAACAGCTATAGTCTCAAACAGTGATCAAGTACTCATTTAAAATATGAGTCTTCAGTACTATACTGGGTACTAAAGGGTTTTAATCTCATTGACAAGGGTCGGAAGAAGAATCAGTGTTGAAAGCTGAAGTCAGACAAATCAAAACAGGAAATCAGACACAAACTACAGAAAGATTACTGTAACAGTGAGAAAATAGCAATTCAACACTGGGGGATACAGTCATGCGAGTAGACTGGGAGGGCTGCTAAGAATGTGCACAAAGTCTGCTGGCCATTCCTATACAAGATGTTCCAGAGAGCAGAAAGGCAGCTCCTCCAGACAGGAAGGCCAGGAGACAGCACATGCTTGTGGTTCTGCTCTAGGCCAAGAATTCCCAACTTAAAGTATACATACTGGTGGCATGCAAGACACTTCCATTTCCAAAACAGCTTAACACCTCCAGAGCACAGGAACTATCTAGCTTTTCCTGTTTTGATAGCACCCAATCAAAGTAAATTGGAGGATTTCTGCCCCAGGCAGTGCATTGTCAAGGACAGCAGAGAAAGACAAAAGTCAAAGAAAATGAAAAAACTAAGAAGAATCAACAGCTCTACAGATCGAGAGACTGTATACAGATGGCATGTCCAATCTACACTCTTAACTAAAAAGGCGCTAATTGTTGTCAAACTACAGCAAGGGTCACATCTCACCTCCAGCTAATGCTCCAAGCACCTTGGTGCTTGAATGGAACCATATTCAAGACAGAGCTTCCACTCTTCACAATTAGAATTTGCAATTTTCTTCTGCTCCTTAAATCAGATCCATGACTACAAAAGTTAACAGCAGTATTTACCAGGAAGGTACTGACTGGTACCTGCAGCCATTTCCTTTGGGAACCACAGCATCAAAGCATAATGCCTTTGCATTGTCTCACATGTTTTGAAACAATCTCCCTATTTGGGGGATCTAATTTCAAATAACCATCTTGCCTTCCTGTTTCCCAGTAGTTTAGCTGCATATTCTTAGTAACAAACACAAAGCATTTATAAAATGCAGGCAATTCCAAATTCCATCACAAAAGTACATTCAGCTCATTGCTATCATCCTTTTGAGATGCTGTGTCTGCAGCTTTAATTTTGTACCAGAGCACAGATAATGATCTAGCTGGTAGGATTTCCTCCTCAGTATAGACAAAACACAACTATTTTGGTAGGAGTCAGAGCCCTCACATACCATGCCACTAAGAAACAGGGGCAGATGACATTTTGCTATTATATTACTGCAGCTTCTAGATATTCCAGCTTGCAACTGGCTGTTGCATCAACTGCGACAGATAGGATTCCTAAAAAGAGCTTAGAAACAAACCAGGGAAGGATTAGGAGGCTGGACTCCTTCTCATCAATCTAACAGCTGAAAACAGCTGAGCCCTGGAGAGACTGACCTGTTCTTGACCACACAGGAAATCTGGTAGCAGAGGAAAACTCTGAAGCAAAATTTACCTAGTTCACAAATAAAAGCTTTGAGCAAAAAGACGAATACCTTCTCAAGCAAAGATGAATGAGAACTCTTGCAATTGTATTCTAATTAGACAGGAGAATGATAATCTATTTTAAATGCACTCAAAGGGTCTACAGGCTTTTGAAAACTTCCTGTGCTCCCTGTGCCGCCCTTCCTCATCTCTGTGGGTTTAAACTTCTTTTTGTTTTAATATGGGTTGGTTTTTTGGGGCTGTTTGGGTTTTTTTAGCTCTTACATAAATGATCCAGGGGGTACCAATCTCAAAGCTACCTGATAAATGGTAAACTGTGATCCTTTTTCTTTTTTCATGACAAAAAGGGTATGTTTTCTGTAGGGCCTGTGTAAGCCCAACGAGATCCCGGTGAGACGTTTTTAGTTTGTTTTTTAGGCAAGTGCATTTGGCCTTTCAAAACAGTTCTGGAGAACACGGAAAACCACATGGGACGTTTTGTTTTGGTAAAAAGGAAAGGGAAAAAAAAACAAGTCAAAGGTCAGAAAGGTGCATTAGATAAAATATGAGCTTGTTCAAAGTTGCACTTTAACTAGGCATCTTTCTCCTAATTACAATAGCAACAATCAATCACATCAACATGTCAAAATCAGGTTTTACACATGGTTGGGTTTGTTTGTTTGCTTCTTTAAGCCTAGAAAGAGCCAATTTACTCTCTTACACTGCTGTTATTTTGTCACCAGTTCAGGCTGTACAGTTTTCAGCACACAGAAAGATTCTCTGGGATTGATTTAAGATCAATCACAGAATCTTACATCTTTCAATTGATGAAAGATGTAAGATTCTCTTAAGTGGTGTATATTCTGAAGTAGACAGATAGGAAATGGGGGGGGGGGAGATAGTGGGAGTGACACAAATTTCAGTTCTCCAGGGAAAAATTACAAAAGGGGGAATTGCTTTGTCAGTCACTTTTAAGCAGATGGGAAGGGAGCAAGCACTGAGCAGCGTGCAGCCCTTCAAGTGATGAAACATCAGCTCTGTGACTCACCAACCAGGGGCTGCTGTACCCAGAGACGCAAGAAGTTACAAGCAGGAAACTCTCTAAGAAGTTACAATTTTATGGGTGGGGAGTCAGCCTGCCTGTGAGGGAGGGCAGGATGGGGAGGGCAGCCTGAAAGCTCAAACCAGGAACTGCTGGAACAAAGAATGGAGTTGGACGTGGAAGGACAGCAGGAAGCCAAGCTCTCTGAGAGCTGTACTTAGAGGTTTGCCGATGTAACGCTAAGGCCTTAATTCCATGACTCTGCAGGTTCTTTTTATTTCTATTCCTCCATTTTCTGCCACAATCAAATAGTTCCAATAGGTTTACATCTAGGCTAATGCTGAAGCAGAGTGGGAAACCCTGGCCCATAGAATTGTTTTTACCTTGGTCATTTTGATTCAGCCTTCCTCTGTTCTCATGAAGCAATAACTGCATTTGCATACTAGTGCAATGAAAGAATTGCACTAGGTGATGTTCAATTGATATTTCAACACTTCATTATATCCCCACCTCTTAACTTAGGAGCTTGTGTAGCCTGTGCTACTTAAGTGCCTGAGAAACTTGTGCTTCAAAATATTTACTGTCAACTCATTTAGCATAATGGCAGGGTAATAACAAAGATTCAGAAATTAGACTTAGAAATAAACTAGAAAATATCCAGTCTAAGAAACTTGCAGGGACATTTCTATAGAGCACAGAGCCAACACTAAGCAGCTGCACAACTGTGGGGTACACTATATGCATTAGCAGATAATGCTACTCTGCAGCAGTATGATGCAACTGCAGGTGTTGTGGGGGCAGGGCCCCTATTGTCAACTGTATCTTCACAATACTCCTGAGTCAGGGAATTGCTGCTGACTCAATTTCACAAGTCAACTGAATAAGAAGAGGGCCTCCATGACTTGCCTCCATCAGGTGGAAAGCCATGGCAGAGAAGGCCATTAGACACGAGTCCTTCAACCGCTTCAAGAGGATCTATGCATTTGGCTCCCCCTTCCTACTGTGAGATGACCTCCCCCTTCCCTGCTTTTGAAACTTGCCACATCACTGCTTTTTCTCCAGCTGAAAAAGACAGCTGAACAAAATGATGATCAGATGTTTCAATGTTAAAAGAACAGCCTGACTATTAGGAAGAGCAATAGGGAGGAGACAACTTCCAGCTGGTGTTGGTAAGCACTGGTACTATGATGCTCAAGTTAGATTGGTTAAGACTCTTCACACATCTAAATATAAACAAACTCCTAACTGCTATTAAAAGCTGGCTCTAAGATACAACAAAACATACAAAAAGTCAGAAAGGTTCAGAAAAGGAGGAAGTGACTTCTCATTTGCAGGCACTGGTAAATCCATTTATATCTTACGAAATAAATTGCATATATATGTGTGTATGTAGGTGTATATAATATATATGTATGTGTATGAGAGCGAAACAATTGTAAGTCCAGTGGCAAAGCAATAACAAAAATTAAGATGCGCTAGATGACCCTGAACAAATCAGTTACTGTGTTTTAACTGTTTCTCTGCTTTTGAAGTAGAGATAAACAGTAGCTTCCCTAAGTTTGCTAAATAATCCAACTGCAAATATGTATATTCAGATAAGAGCACAATTGTTTCAAGAATGATGATCAAATAAGGCAACTTTTAAGTTCTAACAGTAACTAAGATTAGGAGGCTGATAAGTGCAAGAGGAAAAACTTTTCTTACCTCCATAACTATAGAAGGCATCTCGCTCTTTCCTTTGAACCACTATCCCAACAACATCCACCTGTCTTACTGGATGTCCGTTATAAAAGAATATACCTAGACACAAAACATACTTGATAAGCATAACTTACTTTCAACATCCTACCCTATACAAAGTCACATTTATCAGTAAAAAGGCCCATACTTTATTGCATATTTAATGTATCTTGAATTATACAATGCTAGTCATGTGAAAAATCTCCTGGATCAGTAAGGACTGGGAACATTTGAAGAAAGAAATACTAGCTCTACTTAGGATACCAAAAGCTTGGGTTTGTAGACTGTCAGAACTCTAATAACCTCTTCTTGTCTTGCCCATTTGGACCTGAAAAACAGTTTGTTTGCTGCAGTTACTAGGGGTGTTTTAGTTGTTTTGTTGTTTCATTTTATTTCAGTTTTGTTTGTTTTGGGGTTTAACATCTTCATCAGGCTTCAGAATAAATAATAGAACACAATGGAAGCAGTCTGAGCTTCCCACAGTGCAGCTGTTCCAGATTAAGGCAGAGCTTCCAAAAGGAAAACTAGCATAATTCTGTCTTTCATTTCTAAAAGAACAGGAGCCATGGGGGGGCAGGGGCAGAGAAACAAGCCTCTTAGACAGTGGCATACACTATGCCGTCATCATGGACAGCACCCTGAACTTCAGCTTCTGAAATAACAGCTTCTAAAAACAGCCCTTCAAAGCTATTTTTGTGTATATATAAAGATGACTTAAATTAGAATAACATGTGAAAAATGCATCCAGGAAACAGTGAGGAATCAGTGCTCAGTGGACTTTGACAGCACTGAAGTTGCCACATGCCCTCTGAAGAGAGTGAAAAATGTTCTTAAGAAACACCAATGCAAACATTATACACTGAAGCTCCACAGTCCACTAGCAGGAGGAGACTAGGGCAATAAGCCCAGATCCTGGGCTGGCTAATTTTTAGTTAATGTATTTTGTTCAGTTTTTGAACATTGCTGCTTCACTGAAATAGGCTGGGATGTTCAATAACTGTCTTTAAAAACTAGGCAACTCAAGGGACTAAGAAGGGAACATTTGGCTCCATACACTGTGGCAAGGCTTATTCTTACAAAGAGAAACACTGCAGCAAGGGAGTGAGAGAAAAATCAAAACCAAAATCCAAAAATAACTTGGCCTACATAGCCGGCAGACTTAAATGAGCCTGGAATTAACTTGCTTCACGTAAGGAAGACAAAACACCTAAGTTTCAAAAGAAATCACAGGTGATCAGCCAGGCAGCTCATAAACAGAAGGTCTGCTCATAAAAATCCAGTGCAATGTTTTGAGGATGTGTCTATCACTGTTGTCGTAGAGCTGGCTGTAGTAATCGTGCAGTCACTGGTCAGGTCTGGTGTAGCGAATGTTTAGCAGGTCTACCCACTTTTCTCTCATTACCAGGACAATAACAATTGCCATAGAAACCCTCAATGGAGATGCTCCCAGTGTATATAATTGGTCACTAAACCTTACAAAATCTCTATTTAAAAAAAAGGCTGAGCCAGTCTCTGGGTAATTCTGTGGAGTAAGGATACCAAGCTCTTGACTGTGCAAACAAGCAACATATTATTATGCTCATTTCCATCTGTAAGCTGAGTTTTGACAAATGACAGAACCAGATAAAACTGGTTCTCTCCATCCCCATAAACTCACATTGAACTCCACCCTTATTCTTTGAGAAACTACTCAAATTTAGAACATGAAATTATATTTACACTTCTAAAAGTTGCTGAACTTAACTCCAAGGTGTAAATTGTTTCTCCTGCCAGTTTATTTATTCATATTGGTAGCAGTAAAACACATGTGAAGCTACTTGCAAGCACCTCCAGTCAAGCTCCTAGTAACCCAGTAAACCACATGTTCATTAACATGCTGTTACCACAACAGGAAATCACAGTAGTGGTAAGGGGGCTTTAAATGCAGAGCTCTCTAGGGCAAGTTCTGGTCATGTCTTTACCAACATTACTAAGTACTGAGCTGTTTGCCATTGCTTTAATTATTATTACCTCCTTTTATGCTATTTGTAGCTTCCCTCACTTGTTGATAAGCTGTCACAATGCAGTGCTGCATGATAAGTCTGAGAAAAGCTCATTTCCATTATGTGTTGTAACACAGTTTGACACCCACTCGCATTTCATGGCCTCTAAGACAACACAATTGCTGTTTTTATCTGGGAGGCTTTCCAGCTTTCTTGTCACCATTTATAGCAGGAAAATAATTGGCCAGGTTTACTGCTTTCCTCTCTGTAAAGGGATTAGTCATTATGGCATCAAATCCTAATGCTTAAAAATGGAAAGAAAAAACCTATTAGGTCATTCAGTCCATTTCCTCAGGGTCAATGCAAGACCATTCCGTACAGTAAATTCCTGGCAATCTGTACAACTAGGATATAAACAATCCCAGTGAAGGGCATCCCACCTTTTTCCTGGGAAGACCGCTCCATGGTTTGGCAGATGTCATTCTAAGGATGTTTTTCCTGACATTCAGTCTGTGTGTCTTTCCATTCTTCCTAGTTACAGCCTTTTGGTTTGCAATCATTCATTCTTAATTACCGTTACTTAATGACTGATTTACAACCAATCGTATATTTAGCTTCAGCTGGTCTTTAACAATCCCATTAGAGGCAGGAAACATCAACAGCAAACACCTATCTGCTTCCTTCCCCAACAGACTTTCTTCTTTAGTGTTTCTGTTGTGCAAACATTTGTTGCTAATAAATAAGATATGCTGAAAAATGTCTGATTTGGTATATACACAGCACTAGGAGAATGAAAGCTCAGGGTGTTTGTTCTATGAAATTTTATTCTTTAAAGTTTGGTTTAGAAAATGATACAGGACTGCAAGCAAGCTTAGTTGTTCAAAATGTCAGATACACAGGAAGCAGAGACAGCTTGCATACACCGATTTTAAAGGCTGATATCTCGACATGACAAATACCACCTCCTTAGGATCATCTTAGGAAAGAAAAGCAATAACAAAACTGAAAGTTCCTGAAGCAGAAGACAACTCACCTAAGTAAAAGAACAGGAAGGGAAGTGAGAAAGGAAATTAAAGGTAAAAAAGAGCAGGATTGTGCTCTAGGACTGTTCCTGCTTTTGTGAAACATTTGTTGGTGCTTAAGTTCAATTCCTCTGAATATATTTTGGCATGTATATATAACTAACGTCTAAGACCAAACTACAATCCTATTCTGCTAACATTGAATTGGTTTGTATTTGTTTGAAAACAATTAGAATGTCTCTAATTGAAGCAGGAACAGGTTTTTACTAGAAGCATTTGCAACACCAGTACTACTGTATGACTGCACGCTTTAAAAAGGCCTCTAAATACTACTCACTCTAGTATAAACATCAACAACTGACTATAGCCTCGTTCTTTCAGTGGATTTAAGACAAAAGTATCCTCTCATGTTAAATAACAGAAGTGTATATATATGTACTGGGCTTTGCAGTTTCTGATGCCCACATGTATATAAAAATGGTTGCAAGAAAACCAAAAAAACCCCACCACTCAATTTCTTCAACAATACACTGCTGCTATCTGTGCTATTAAAGAAAAGTAATTAAGAGCAGCAAAACCTACATGGCAGAGCATATTCAAAGAGCCAAATAGGTATACCTTGTCTCTGTGGAGGAAAAAAACATAACCAAAAAACCCCACAAACTCTGCTTAGGGTTTACTGCTTTTTTTCATTTATTCAAAGTAACTTGGGTTCCACCCTGATTATCTCGCACCTTGTCAAGCTTTAATTTGGAGTAATGAACCCTTCTATAGCACAAAACTTTCTGAAGTCTATTTAAAGTCTTCGTAGCGAAAACAGAAATTCAAGGTCAGCCCCCTGTCGCTTCAGACAACGTACACGTGTGGGTGCTATTGGCTGAAGACCAGCAGGAAACAGACTGCAAAGCATATGATTTCCAACAATGGTTAGGAAATGAAAGGTGTGGTGTAAGATTCAGCACAGATGCTAGAATTTACAGTAAGGTTGTTCAAATACATGAAGATGTCAAGTGTCTATCATATCTGGAAATTAAGTAGACAAAACCTCAAAACCTCTACCTGTTATATTCAGAGGAAAAAGCAAAACCACATACATTCAGCCATCAACTCAAGATTTTGCAACAATGACAAGATGCATAAAATCCTTCTCTAATGCTGTACAGACAGTGGAAAGATACAACACAGATGACCAGAAAGGACCAGAATTTTTCAAATTAATGTTATCAGAAAACAACAAGCATTACCACACAGATGAAATACAACATTACCTTAATGTAAGAGATGTTCTGTATGTACCTATCTATCTCTCTCTCTCTCTATATATATATGTGAGAGGAAGAAAAGCCATTAGAATGAACATTTTATTTTCACACATATTTCACATGCAACCTGTTGTTCCCAGAACTGTTAAAGTTATTAGCTTCACTTAGCCTTGGGGCACGGAACATTAGTGGTGTTCATGAAGCATTCTGCAATCCCTCAATAAAGAGCACAACGTAAATCAATTAGAATTCTGTGTGCATCATAATCAGCACATGTAAGTACATACCTGGCACTTGTTTAGATTCTCTCATTTCTTTTATATCTTTAATATACAGCCTTGCAAATGCAAAAAACACAGGATCCAATCCCCAGTGCAGAGAAGGTGTCTCTTCTTCTTCATCCTTCCTAGACTCTGACTGCATTCAAAACCTGTGAACACAGAAGACCTTGTGACTATTTTCTGCACAGGTAAAGAGCTGTTCACACGTGTTCCACCTGTATGAAAAATAGCCTGGGATTTTACACACAATAACACAGCAGAGCTGGTAAGAGACAGGGGAGCTTATCTAATACAATGTTATCTCTGTGTTACTATATGAAATATTCAAAGTGTCAATACTGAGCAGGATTGTGGGATACCAACTGCCTACTTTCTGCACCCTGGGTTATTTTTTCTCCCTATCATTCTTTTTCCCTTCCATAAGATATTCTCCTCATTGTTCACCCTGTGCTTTACTGCAGTGTTTATTTACTGCAGGTGTATCTTCAATTAAACAAAAGCAGCTGGACCTTCTTTATTTTGGACATACAGCCTCAATTAACTTCATAATTGTTACTTTCACTTTTTGCCTCTTCAGATTTCCCTGTTTAGTACCTGCCATCTTCTGCCATTACCAGAGCCAGTGCTCTGCTTATCACAGAGTTGATGTCAGAAGAAAAACACAGCAATCAATTCAGGAAGGATCCTTGTAGAGATCTGGAAGCTGAATATACTTTTTATTAGCTTCTCCCATATAGATAGCTAATAAATTATTTATTAGCTTCTCCTGTATGGATAGCTAAAGCTTTCCAGGTCACCCTCAGACGGGTTTCACCCACTTACACCTATAGGGCAAAAGTGGTAAGTGGAGTGATTTTGAGGAGTGCATAATAGGGCTGTGATCTAGCAGCTACAGTCTCCTGAGAGAGAACAGCTCCCTGCTAGCAATCAAGCTGTAGGAGACACTTCTAGCTACTGATGTAGAGGAAACATGCCATGAGTAGCATGATAGCATCTTGCTTCTTTGAGAAACAACAGAGCTTGGATTCTGTGCAATTTCTGTTTTCACACTTAAATTTTAATTTGGGGCAGAAAAACAGAGCGTAACGCAGAATGCCAAAGTGTTGCTGGCATCTACTCTATGCTGTGAAAAGAACTGCAGATGACAATTACATTCATTTCTAAGGTTTATTTTTATGTTTTTAAACAACAAAAGGTTAGCCATATTTTGACCTTCCTTAGAGCGCTCATTTGTTTTGTTAGATGTTGAAAGTATCTGATTTAGTCAATGCCAGCCATTTTATCTTCGAATAACAAACTAGTTTTGTTTACACTGGGATTTATTCCTCTCCCTGCTACAGACAGCTTTTCCAAAGCTATCCATTCCACACACAATATCTACTCATAAAACCTTGCCACCCTTTTCTCCCTCACTTCTCCCCAGAAGCATATTTCTTTTCTGCTGCTGAATTGCAGACACTGCTCAGTAGAATTTCATAAACGAAGCTTTAACTGTATGATCTTAATAATGCAAAGCTGCGATTCCTCCATATGGCAGTTCCTCGGTTGCTTGCTATAGTCTATGTCAAATGTAGATCATAAATTTTCCCAAGCAAACACATAGTTTGAACCTGTGTTTTACTTAGCACGCTCGTTTTCATAATGAAATTAGTCTTCCCCATCCCTTTCTTTTTGCTTGCAGTCTCTAGCACCAAGTTGCCTGCATTGTCCCTATGCTACTGTGCTTTTATAGCTTCTACTCAAAAAATAGTAGGGGAGGAAAGGGAAAATATAAAAGAAAAATAATAAACACAGCCCAGCAAAACGTGATGGTGAATGAGAAGAGTTCACACATCAGTTGATAAACTCACACTGTAGTCAATCAAGGTTAACAGATAATGCGTTGAAATAAGGAGAAGCACTACTTGTTCAGTGTCACCCCGCCTCCCACTCAGAGTCAGGAACTCTTAAGATGTAATTTTGTCCTTAATGGTGCCACAATCCCCTTTCAGTGGCACTTCTCCCCTGACAAGAAACACTGATACAATCACAGACTGTTGTCCAAGATCATCTTTTACACAAAGCAATATTCCTTTCTGCACTGTAACCCCCCACCTTACTCTGCATGGTTACAACGTGTCTCATAGCTCAGCACCTGGTTTTTTCTCAGAGACAGATGGTAGGCTGAGCTAAGCAGCCAAAAAGGGAGAATTGGGTAACAAGCCTAACTTTCTGCATTTTGCATGAACACATTGGCACAAAAAGCAGAAGTCACCCCTGCACATCTGAGGGGAAATCAATGAACTGGCACCACTGGAGATTACAAGTATCTGCATTTTGCTATTTCAGTAAACAGCTATCAAAACTGAAATGCCCAAATGTTAACAGATCAATAGCTAGAAGTCCAAACAACACTTCTAGCTATTTAAGCATCTCTTTTCGGTATGGAGATTCTCCCCAAATCTTATATTTCTTCCCTATCCTGAAAGGTGAAGGATTTCTGCTGCAAAAGCTCTATCTCCAAAATTACTGGGAGCTAAATCTCATTCTGGGGCTTCTTTCTAGCTCCCAGGCCTTCTTACAGCCCTTCATTGGAAAAATTTACATCCATCACATTTAACTTCACGTAGAGACCCACTGCTTGGTTCAAGTCTGCTACAGACACACCAAATTCAACCTTACTGATTTGGCTGATTCCTTGACAACAAGTAAATCATGCCCCCAGCACTATGAAGAGATCACAAGAGTTCTTGAAGCCCACAGGACAAATCTGCTGAAGTGAGTTACAGACTCTTCACCCAGACCAGGCTACCACAGTGAAACCATACTCCAGCCACTCACTTTCAGCAATGTCTGACACACACACAGAGAACATTCTGCAGTGCAGTCTCCCCTTGGCTCTTCATGGTCCCAACAGCCCTCACAACTGCTGCCCAAAACTAAATCCATTTTCCTTCTTGCCTCTCAAGTGGCCAGTTGGTAGCTACATTTGAACAGTGACCGACTTAAAGCCTAAAGCTTGTGGCCTGCTTGGAGGAAAAGATACTTACTGCCTCCTGCGCTGCTTGCCATCACATACTTTTATTAAAAATCCACTCTTCTTCTGGTGTTATCTTTTTGCTCCTACAGCGAAGGATGTTCAGTCACAGAAGTACCCCTTCCCAAAATACCTATTTCCCAGTTAGTTTGCAAGCTTCTTTCAGGCAGGTTGATAGTATTAGAAAATATAATTCTCACAAGGCAAATAGAATCACAGAATAGATAGGGTTGGAAAGGACCTTGAGATCATCCAGTTCCAACCCCCCTGCCATGGGCAGGGACACCACACACTAAACCATGCCACCCAAGGCTCCATCCAAGCTGAGATAAAACACTTCAAATCCATTTCTCTTTTGCTATATAATAGCATCTTCCCGTAAGCTTTTCTTAAGTTGGCACAGGAAGCCTCTGTCCCAGGCAGAATATCACAGAGGTTAATTCATTAGTGAGTCATTCTTGTGAAAGTAGAACTTTCCATTATGCTGGAAGCGTTTTCAGCTCTTAACTGGTACCACTGGCGATATGCTATCAGCAAGGAAGATAACAGCTAGGCTGTACAAAGATGATCCAAGGGGCAAAGAGAGAGACACAGGGCATTATAATCAGTGTGAATACAGATAGCTCACAATAGACAATTCTGAGCAGATACTATATCACAAATGTTGAAGGATTAAACTTTTTTTTGCTGAAAGATGGTGAAAAGGCTTAATAATAATACAGAGTCCTAGCAAAAGGCCACCCTTTCTTCATTTTGTTTTAAATGCAGTGTAGTGACTTTACAGTTGCTGTAGTGCAAGGAATTCAATCCTGCTATAGGAGAAAAAAAGGCAAGAGAAGCATCTGGTCCATGAGCTCATTAGATAGAAGATATCTGTATTCTATTTTTAGCTCTTTATAAAATAACGCCAAAGAAAGGCTACAAAAGCATAATCAAAAACAAAAACAGAATTAAATTCAGCTATCTGGACCACTTTTTGGGAAAACTATCCTGTTTCAAACCCAGAAAGCTCAAGTTTACGTGGTAGTTATCTAAATACAAATAAACAAAAAGCCTCAATTTGAGATTATTCTAGACACTAACCTATTAAAATGAGGGTCTTTCACCTACTGCTATCAATGTTAGCTTTCTGACTTCAGTGAGAATTAAACCAAGCCCATAAGCCTTAGTGTTATCTTGTGAGCTCAGCAAGGTGTTATCCTAAAAGGGAAAGAAGGGAAACCAAGGAAAACTGGCAGCCTTCCCAATAATGCCACCACCCAAATCAAAGCCCTGCCTTCCCTCTCGAGCAGCCTACCTGGTAGCCTTGTTAGAACCAGAGCTGTTCAACAGAACCAGCCACGGCCAGTGATTTCTTAGCTCCTACTCCTGTGTTCACCAGGTATCTTTTAAAAAATGGTAAATGATATAGAATTGGTTTTCTTCCAATCTCAGTGAAATGGAAAACCCAGAGAATAATATCTGGTTTAATGTTTCTTCTTTTCTCCAGATGTAATTATCAAAACTCATGGAGAAAATTGCCTTAGTTTGAGATGAATCTTTTGGAGCCATAGCAAATGTATCTTGCCAGCTGTTGTCTGCAACTACTGGCAAACTGCTACAAAGATTTTAAGGTTTGCTGTAAACCAGAAGCAGAGAATATTTATCCACCAATACAGGCAGCTTAAACATTCTACCATGCATTCACTCTTCTCCAAAGACTGCCACAATCATACTAGCACTCATGATCTATGCAGGAAGCAGCTCCTAAGCTGTTAGAGCTGCCAACCCTATGCATTAAAACATCTTAAAGGCAGCATTGGTTTACTTGAATAAATAAGGCTATAAACTGCGGCTGTTAAAGAACTGCTTCATGGGTCAGCCATCCCAGCCACGGAGAAAGCAACTTGTGGAAAGAGGAGCAGAGTCAACAGCTGGGCTTTGTACCAACCTCTGTCATCTGAATTGAGCTCATCTCTGTTTGAGTCAGCACCCTACATAACAAATGATTATTATTCAATTCTTCATGATCAGCAGAGGCAATTCCAGCATGACACAATTAAAGACACCATATTCCAAGAAATGTTTTTACACACAACATTTTAAACTAAAACTAAACAAATCCAGTATCTTATTATACAAGTAGATCTTAGT